TAGCGACTTTCTGGATACTTTTGGACTGTCCATGAAAACTCGGTTTTCCTAATTTCGAGCCATAATATATAGCAACGGGGTTACAGGGACAATGCATTTGAACGGGTTGAACTCATAAAACAACTTCGTCAACGCTTACCTGACAACATTCGTGTGCTGCAGTCTATTTCTTTTCTGAGTGCCGATGAATGCTTGAAGCCTATTAAATCAGATATACTTGGTTTGGCACACTTATTTACAGAAGATTCCAGCACCCTTACCAAGATTGATTTCCAGTGGAAAAAACTGCATCACACAATCTGGACAGAAACATCTAACACCCTAAAATTGTGGTCAGAAGTGGCAAATTACAGAGATGCGACAGGTGAAAACCCTTACCATGATCTGGCTGAAATTGCACTCGCTGCCTTACCTCTTCCGCATTCAAACGCAGATGTAGAGCGCACATTTAGTAATATGAACTTTGTGAAATCAAAATTGCGCAACAAAATGAAACTATGGACATTAAAGGCAATTCTTACAATAAATTATGGGTTAAAAAGACAGAACACCTGTTGTGCAAGTTATGAACTTCCTAGTGATATTTTAAGAAAGATAGGGACTGTGGAGGCATACAGTTACAAGAGAACCTGAACCAAGCACTTCACATGCTTCCAGCTCTACAGTTGTTCACACTGCCGACGACTACGAAGAGACTGGGATGCAATTACTCTTGAATAATAGGTAAGTGTGCACATTAAACTTTAAAAAAATAATATTTTTATTTTTACATAATGCATTTTATTTATACTCCGTCCATTATAGTCGGCATTATGAAAATATAATTTGCATCAAATTCCTGAAGCGGGGAATAATAGCTAGCGACTTTCCATGGAAGATTTAGCGACATTTAGCTACTTTTAGGTACCAGCCTAGCGACATTTGAAAATCCGAGTTGGCAACCCTGAACACCGTTTTTTACCCGCCAGTCAGTCAATGGAAGCTTGAGGCAGTGGACGTTAGCAGCGCCTGCCACAGTTGCGAATTTTCTATCATAAGTGTTTAAATTGTATCACAAGTTCTCCAGCATTTGTTAACATGGATAGTGATAAGTTGAGCTTCACGGAGCGTCTTAGGAAAATGATAAAAATCATTACACTTAACAAATTTCTGGTAACAGTTGGTACCTTGACTGTTGCGGGTGGTGGATATTATTATTAGTAAGTAAATCTGGTAATCTTATCGATTGTCTTTTGTAGCTGTATAGTTTAGCCTTTGTACTGCACTGTAATGGCTTAATTTACAGAAACAACGGATACAGAGCATGATCATGAGAACGTCCAAAGGAAGGCTATCCAACTGGTACCGGTACAGTATACCTCGCCAAGAAAGATTAGAACGTCTTCACTTGCCCAGCTTATATTGAAAATGGTAAGAGGTGATTTAATCGAAGTTCATAAGCACCTCAAGGAGTTACTCAGGATGTGTATGTATCTGGATTCAAGAGAAGGCCGCCTCACTAGGAATTACGCCTACCCGGTAATGAAGTCACATGTGAGAGAATGAAGTATCTTCCCGTAGTTTTTTTTTACCTATGTTTCCACAATATTATGGCAACATTAGACAAAACCATCATCTCAACGTTATGATTATTGTTAGAAATTGTTGCAATATTTTCGCAATTTTTTTTAAATGTTTCCCATAATATACAAATAATACAACTTTCTACGTTATGTGTTAGCTTGACCTACTCTTAGCACCCTTCGTTGGGAATGGGACAACTGGCCGCCGCCATCTGGCTATAAACAGTAATTTTACAAACTGTCAAATGCAGCCTCACCCATGCCTGCATCTGGCGTGCGGCGCGCCCATTGCCTGAGTCACTTGACTCACTTCCTGGTTTTGGGAATGTTTTTGGAATTACAATTTTGAGAATAAAAAGTGGGGGGTCCAACCCAGGGACCAGCCCAAAATCTGGGGGGCCATGGCCCCCCCGTAGAATCGCCCCTGCAACTTTGGTCATTTAGATGACATCGCTCGTTTTTGCTCTCCCCACCCAAAATCCCGATTTCCCACGGGTCCCCCAAGATTGTCAAACTCGAAAAGGAGTCATTTGCGATAGAAATGAAGGTCAGAATCGTTCAAAACATATAAAAAACTATCGGAAAAACGTACTGTAAGTTTCATGTACAAAACCATTCCGGGCAGCCTGTGAAAATTTACCCAAGAACTTTCCAAATATGAGTTGTTATTGGGTTGCAAATCCCGCTTGCCATCTCCTTTTTCACTTTAGTCTGTGCTTCTGCCCCTCCAGCAGATATAAATTCTTTCAAGCTGTGCCCTATAACAAGGGTAGGGGGCACGATGAGTGTCAACAATCACACATTGCAAACCGAATCATTTTTAATTTGAAATTACTGTATTGCAGTCATAGTATAATAAATTATTTTATCTGCGAATATTTCATAGGATCATTATCCATAGGTAAGAATAACAAGTTATTAGCATCAAACAGGGAGATACTACGGTACTACCGCCTGAGAAGATATTGGAAGCATAATGTGTTGTCCATTGGTAGACCCTGCTGTCATATGGCATCACGAAAATTGTGATCAACAAGTCCCACACTGCTGGTCTGACTTTTAGGTCTCAATTGTTTCTCTTACTTTGACAACGCAACATATATACTGTACACTCTTGATCTTTTTTAATTTTTATATTTCTTTGTGGTTATTTATTATTATTATTATTATTATTATTATTATTATTATTATTATTATTATTATTATTATTACCAGTGTTACATAAGAACATAAGAAAATAAGGAGTCTGCAATAGGCCGGTTGGCCTGTGCATGGCAGCTCCTGTCAAGAGTTACTACCACTCTATCATCCATGAATCTATCCAGCCTCCCTTTGAAACTTTCCAGCGTTCCAGCACTTACTACACGGTTGCTAAGCTTGTTCCACTCGTCCACCACCCTATTTGTAAACCAGTTCCTTCCTATCTCCCTCCTAAACCTAAACTTATCCAACTTGAATCCGTTGTTCCGAGTCCTATCCTGCTCTGATATTATAAGAACTTTATCTATATTCCTTTCACCCACTTGAATACTTCTATCATATCTCCCCGCACTCTTCGTCTTTCTAGGGAATGCAAGTTTAGTTTCTTTAACCTATCCTGATATGGAAGGTTTCTAAGTCCCGGAATCATTTTCGTCATACTTCGCTGCACCGACTCTAGTGAATTGATATCCATTCTATAATAGGGGCACCAGAACTGAACCGCATAATCGAGGTGCGGCCTGACTAGCGCAAGATATAGTTGCAATAAGACCTCTGCACTCTTATTACTTACACGTCTAGATATAAAACCTAATACTCTGTTTGCCTTATTTCGAACATTAACGCACTGTTTTCTAGGCCGCAGGTCCGTGCTTACAAGTACCCCTAGGTCTCTTTCACAAGTCGACTTTTCTAGGTTGATGTTGTTAAGGCTGTATACATTGACAGTATTTGTTCTTCCAATATTAAGTACGCTGCACTTGCTGGTGTTGAATTTCATTTGCCATTTTCAGACCGCCCCTACAGTTTATTTAGATCCTCCTGTAATGCATTTGCATCCTGCCCTGAATTAATCTGCCGCCCTATTTTGGTGTCATCCGCAAACTTGCATATGTCACTGCTGATCCCAGTATCTAGATCGTTTATGTAGATTATGAACAAGAGTGGGCCTAGTATTGACCCCTGGGGAACCCCACTGGTTACACGACCCCACTCAGATTTAACACCATCTACGCTGACCCTCTGCGTTCTATCGGTGAGCCATGATTTTATCCAATTTAAAACTTTCCCCTCGATATCATGAGCCTTAATTTTTCTCAGAAGCCTCTGATGCGGTACTCTGTTAAATGCTTTGCTAAAGTCTAAGTTATTACTATTTTATTTATAATTTTTATTTTTTATTATAAATTTTATTTACTGTTTATGAACTAATTATTATTATTGTTGTTATTACAGTACTGTACTGTGTTACATTTTCGCCCATATCGGGACCTGGGGGGGGGGGCGATATGGGTTGTAGTGGATTCTCTTAATTTCTCTCTCCTACACAGCCCTAGCTGTATCCCATAGCAACGGTTCTGCCAAAGCCTAGTTGCCGGTGTCTCGAGTCGCGCTAGTTTCCCTGACGTGTCAAGACATTGGGGGGTAGGGGTCGACACCGGCAACTAGGCTTTGGCAGAACTCCGTTGCTATGGGATACGGCTAGGCTGTTGTAGGAGAGAGTCCACTACAGGGTCAGTGACCTGTGCCCAGGTGGGCGAATCCATGTAAAAAAAAAAAAAGACATATTGTAGTGGGTTTCTCCCCTACAAACGCTGTTTGTCGCTGAGTAGCCGACCCCGCGAATTCCCCAGTGTATGCCTCGTGGTCTAGGTCAACTAGCGCCGCCTTACATGACGGAGGTCAACTATTAAGCCACGCCTACCTCCGCTATATAAGACCTGACCTCGTGGTGACCTACCTCTCTTTTCTACCTTCACCAACCAGCAAGCAACACCTCCTCCTGCCTGGCGGCCCTCGCTCCCGCCGGCGAGCATGGCAACCCACAAGCTGTCCTCCTCTGAGCACCCTCACCAACCAGCTCTCTCTACATCACGCTTGTAACCATGCTGCCTTCCCAGCACCAAGCTGCACTGTACATCCAATACAATATGTATACAGAGATCACATTGTGAGTTTCCATTCTCCATCCCATCCTGAGTGTGAACCAAATAACCCTTACCCCACAATATCTATATTCTACAGAAGAAATAAACTATTATTCGTTATTAATTTTCGACAACATTAAACGGAATTTGCATAAAAACACGTACTGCACAATGTGCATCGATCAGCGGTGAAGAGGATGAAAGAAAAAAAAGGTAAAGTAAAAGATTTCTTCCTCCTCTATATCCGCTTGTATTAGTTACCCAATAAATTTGTACATCATACATTTTCTGTAATCAAAAACGTACACAGACAATCAGACTCAGTATGTTGTTGACCAGTGGAAGGAGAGGTTTGAAAATGTGACTTATGACCAACTCAGTAATTAAGGCTGTTATAATATTTAGACGCCACAAACTCTGATCAAGGATTATATACGAACATGACTTCTGAAGATCCTTATTATAATCGTCGTGTAAAAGGAACAGAATTACGCCGGTTTAGGCACCGCTTTGCTCTGGGGATACTGGCCCTGTCAGGACTGATTGGGACTGGCATTCAGTGAGTTATTTTTTTATGATATAATTCTTGTGTGTTTGTTATTATGGTTCTGTTTTGGGTTAATATTGACGACTGACCTGCCGACGAGTTATTTGAGTTAGTGTTTATTTTCCCACTATTTTCACCAGTGAGTTTTTATATGATAATCATTTGTTGTGTAAATGCTTCGTTTGGTATACTGTATATTTAGACGCCTAATGTGCTCACTACTTTGTCTCCTCGGTGGTAATGTGGCGGTTTTATGCTAAGTTTAGGTTAGGTTGGATTGGGTAAAAAAGAACATTTGCACTAAGTATGACATTTGTCGTCTATAAAACAGGGTAAAATTCGTTTTATGCACCAACGCTATTTCTAATTAAAAACATATTATTCTTTTTTTTTATGTGCTTTCTTCAAAAATGAAAATTCGTTTCCTTGGGAAACTAATAGTTTTGAAATTCCCAGAAAACTACTACGGTAATTTTCCATGGAGACGAAGGTTAAATTTGGCAGAAAGCACATATAAACACACCAGAAAAATGTTTACCTAACCTTACCTTACCTTACCTAATCTTACCTAACCTTACCTAACCAAATCTAAACTAACCTTACCTAACCTAACCAAGAGTTGAACCTGTAGTTTTACATATCTTAGACTGCGCACGGCACATGGCAGATTATTATTATTTATTTTTTATGAGATTTTCATTTAAATAATAATTTCCAGGAGGGTTTGATGTTAGTTGAGGACGTATATAAGGTAAGATTGTAAATAGATAGCATGTCGTAGGTGATACTGGCTAGTGCATTTAAACGAATATTAAGGTAAAACAGTTTTATGTATATGTTAGGTTAAAGTTAAGGTTAAAGCTAGGTTGGGTTAGGTTAGGTTAAGTTTAGTTTAGTTAGGTTTGGAAAAAAATGCACAAACTATGAGCGTCCTCTTTAGAACACGTTGAAATTGCGGTGTTTTTATAATCGTTTACTATGCTAAGTCGCTGGTGGGTCAGTCGTCAATAATTACCGTTTTTTTTATTTTTTAAGTTTAAGTTCAGTTGAGCGACAATGAAAAATATTTTAAAATAATTCTTTCAGCAGAATCCATTTTAAGGTATGATTTACAATTTCTGTGACTAATGGCTGTGAAGTGGAAAGCAGAATACCTAATGTTTCTTGCACACCTAACCCACCTAGTTTCAACTAAATGTATTTAAAATTATTCTTCCCCCAAGAAAATTGCTTATCATGTGCAGGAACTGCAGTTTTTGTATATTTGTTTTTCTGTATTTTTTTCAATAAACGAGGGTTAATATTTAGTAGTTGCCAACAACTAATGGACTTTTGAAAATGGGTTTTTATAGTGTAAATCATCATGCTAAATACAAGTATGTCCTTCATTGCCATCAGAAATGAGCCATTGTTGAGATACAGTATTGAAAAAAAAAGTCAAATGTCAAAAAATGTAAAAACCTAACCTAACCCCTAATGTGTAAGAAACTTACCTTAAGTAAGAGATACAGAAGGATAGTGATGCCACTTGAATGAGAAAGTGGTGTCTTCGTTAGTGTCCGTCTTTTATCACGGTACCATGCATGGCGATCTACACGGTATTGACACGGAATTACATCTCGGACACTTTACAAATGAAACAAGAACACCGTGAGCCCTAAAAATGTCAACGGCTGCTGCGTCCAAAACATGCTGAATAACGTGCCAGGAAGCCAATGTACAGTCAGCAAAAAATATCCTGCATCCCTTTGCAACGATCACTAACTGAGGCCATGTTAATTTGGTTGTGTGATGCAGTGTATAACCGGTATGATGTATTTTTTATATTACATATAGTTAATACAGAGAAATTAACATGAATCACCCACGTAAATGAGTGTTGTTCAGAATTCTTAGTCTGGTGTGTTATATTGTATAACACCATAAAGGTGCAGACATTTTTTTTGTTGGCTGTACATCCTTTTCACACAGACTTCATCTTCCAACTGCCCGCGAATCGAGACTTGTGCTGATTGATGCACGAATATTAGGTTACATTGGCATGCGCTGATTTGCGTGCACGACTATGATGTCACATCACCAATCATGCTGATTGGCCGAATATTGTAAAATGAAAGTTAAATCACTCGATAACTTTAAATTTCCGACAGAAACGTTATGGTATAATTTTCTTTTTCTCTGTTTCTCCCTATACAGTATATGACTCAGTATTTAGTTAGGTGTTGGCAACTACTAAATATTAACCAATGATGGACCTATGTGAGTTTATGTTTGGTAAGAGTTTATGACAGCACTCATTAGTAATTTCGACTAATGTTGACGACTATTTTTATGTTTATATTTGGTAAATTTATTGTTTCGGTCATGTTGCGAATTTTAGGATTTTAAGTTTTGGAATCACTAGTTTAGACAATTGTAAGGCATTTTTCTTCAAACGCATTTCTGTCGGAAATTTATAATTTTCCGAGAATTTTAATCGATAAAATTACCAACAATATTACTTGTTTAAAGTGGGTAGGGCTTTGAAGTAGAGGGAAAATGTGAGGTAAAATACTAATTTATATATATATATATATATATATATATATATATATATATATATATATATATATATATATATATATATATATATATATATATATATATATATATATATATATATATATATATATATATATACACAGTATAATAAAAATATTAAAACTTTTAAAACTTGGCCTAATGTTTCCTAAACTTTAAAAATCCTAAAACTATAAAAAAGTTTACCTTACTCATGTTTAGTAGGTGATGGTGTTGCTTTCGGTTTTTATTAGGTGTTTTTGGTGCTCAGATGAGGAGGGATCCATAAACTCGAAAGTGATTCTTAACATTTTTACAAGTTAGGAAAGGTTAGGTAAGGTTTTGAAAGGTTTGTTTGGTGTTACTTTAATATTTTACCCCACATTTTCCTTCTACTGTACTTCAAAGCCCTGCCCACTTTGAACAACTAATGTTGTTGGTAATTTTATCAGTTAAAATACTTGAAAAATGTAAATTTCTGATGGACACACTATAAAAGAAAAGTGTCTTACAATTATCTTAACTACTGACTTCAAAACTTAAAATCTTAAAATTTGCTATATGACTGTAATGATAATAATACTGTACTTTATATTTTATTTTCATCAGTGAGTTCTGTTGATGATCATTTTGGGGGGGGGGGATTGCTTCCTTTGGTAGATAATTAGGCGACTAGGCGCACACTACAGTATACGTACTTTGTTTGTTTGTCGGCGGTACACGGCCAATCATCTCCGATCAACGCCAGTTGCCATTGTATGTTTATGAGCCACAGGGACTGGGCGGCTGCTCTCACGTCCACAAAAAAACATAAAATTACACCATTTCATAGTAAGTTCTTTCTGTTTAATATGCATGGGTGGTCAAGAGGGTGGAGCCTCAAGGCTAGGAAGTTAGGTAAAGTTAGGTAGGTTTCTTTGGTTAGGTTGGTGTGATCTTCTAACAGTGCTAATGCATATTGTTTTTCTCATCAACTAAGGTTAGGTTAGGTTTAATTTAGAAATAACCACTTTTTAACACGTTTGCCAAAACTATGGCTATGATAGTGTCCACTATAAAACACAGTGAAATTGCAGCGTTTAGTTGTCAACAATTACAGAAATGATATCAAATTAGTCGTAAGGTTGGACTACACTCGTCAAGTATTGTCAAAAACTTGTTTCTTACCTTGAATACACACACATAAAAGCACCAGATACAGGTGCAGAATACGGCAGCTGTAGGAGGAACATTGATGTATTTTATTATGGTAGCTTAATGCACATGCATGGTTGGGGGACTATACAATGATTGTTATTAAGATGGCCTTTCTGTCCAACCTAACCATTAACAACACAGTCTGTCAATATGGCTGCCATACCTATATCCAGTGTGATTTTTGGCATGTGGCTGCCATACCTGTATCCACTACGAAAAAAAGGGGGTAAAATTTCACTTGTTGCCACAATGGGGTAAAAATCAAAGTTGAAACTAGGTTTTTCCGAAAGTTTTGATGTGTTATGTTCTTGGTGTGTACTGTCAGGCTTGAACATATACAGTTAACCCTCGCTTTACGCGGTCCCACTTTACGCGTTTACGCGGTACCCTGCCGAAACCGGAATGCTCACTTTCCGCGGTGTGTGTACCCTTTTACGCGGAGTGGCGCGAGCTGGGTGCGCACAAGGTCGCCCAGTCATCAAAACATTACCGAGCTCTTCACCCGCCACCCACCACAGCCGGCCCAAGTCAGTGATAATGATAGTGAGGATATAGACTTTGAGGGGTTTGACAATGAGGCCCTGCAAGCCTCTGTGGTGGATAGTGATACAATTGATACAAGTGATACAGGTGAGGGCCAATAATAATCTGCCCTCTGCCTTGGAACCAACCCCCCATCCCCGTGTGCCCAGCCATCTTTTCTACTAATGTAAGTGTTAAAAAACCTAATATTATTGATATTTCTCTTAATTATTAATTGTGTGTGCATACCATCATAAAATTAAGAAGTTATTTTTACTACAACGTAGGTATTGTGTCTGAAAAAGTGGAGTTTGGGGGTCGGCCCGGTCTCTATTTCAATTAATCCCATATGTTATGTTGTTCACTTTACGTGGGCCGCCATGGGTTCAATTGACCGCGTAAAGTGAGGGTTTACTGTATAATAAAATGTTAAATATCTTGCTTAAATGTAATTTGCAACAGAAATGCCATTGAAGAAAAGTGTCTTAGAATTGTCAAAACTACTGATTTCAACTATAAAATTCCCAAGATTTGTTTAGTGGGAACAAGTTATGTTTATATACCTGAAATCATGCCTCTAATCTTCTCAGCATTCACTTGATAGACTCATTCATGGAGAAACCACTCAGACAGAGTGGGTGGTCTGGATCTCTCTCTAGTCATAAGATTGTCTGACTTAAACATGGCAAATAAGCAAATAAATAAGAATAATAGGGATATCTCCATTAGCCAGAACAATTGGTGCAGAGCACTTCTGGGAATGAGTGATTTCCGGGTAACGAGACGACTCTAAAGGCCGGAAAAAAATCCCTCATCCCGGAATTTTCCAGGTACATGTAACGGAAAAATTTTCTCTGAAATAGCACACAAAATCATCTCATGAACTCAGAAAAATATTCCCCATTCCCGGAATTTCCGGAGAAAGCACCCGATTTTTATCTCTCAAGCCCTGAAAAAACTCCCGTCCCTAGAATTTTCCGAGTACTGGGAAAATTTTCTGGGAATTTTCCAGAAAATGTGCGTCTTGAAAATTTTTTCCCAAAGCTGGAATTTTCCGGAAAATTCCAGCTTTGGGAACGATTTCTGAGAGATCAGTTCTGACTATTGGAGCGTTTCAGTTAAGAGGGATTCCGGCTAATGGAGATATTATTTACTGTACAGTATGTATATTGTACTCAACTATGAAGGGTATGAAGAATGATGGTGGTCTAGGATGTTGGTTGGAAATTAACATCCGCCAGATGCAACAGATTGGCCTTGCTCTGGTACAGTAAAGCCTCGAATAACGACGTTAATGTGTCCTCCAATATTGCAGTGTAAGGTGAATCGTCGTATCGCGAATCATTAATTACTATTAAAATAAAGCAATAATAATGAGATGTGTTCCCAAGTATGACCTTTTCACATCTTTTGTGTGGCTTTTTACCCTCTTTTCCCCCCCAAAACAATACAATTAATGAAAAGTGCAAACTATATTCTTTAAATAATGTTTCTGAATGCACCTTATACAATATAAATGAATAATAACATGGTCACACAAGAGGAGATGGGACGCCATTGCTTTCGTTTGTGTTTACAGCCGGGAGTCCTGGACGATAGTTCTACAGGAGAAAATGAAGAAACTAAGACCCTGGTTGTAGCTGTAGTAAAATTAATGTAAAAAAATGAATGTATATGTTTTAACTAATGGCATTTAATGTTAATAAATGGAACAATAGAAGTAGCTAACCACTAATGGCAAAGAAAAAAAAGAGATATACAGTATTGGGAACGCCAACATATACGTGTGCATTTAAGGATACCGCGTCATTTTTCTTTTTAAGAATTGTACACAAGATTCATTATTGTTTATTACTGAATATGTATTTGATTGAATTAATTTTTATATATGTGAAATGAACAATGTAATTCATTAATAATACGTAGAATATTAAAACACACACGAGGAGAACAAGACGGCATTGTTTTCGTGAGTGACGATGGTTCTACATAAGAAACTGAAGAAAATAAGACCCTGGTTGTAGCTGTAGTGAACTTAATTGAAAAAAATTTAATACCTGTATGTCTGTTTTAAGTAATGTTATTTAATGTTAATAAATGGAACACTAGAAGTAGCTAACCACTAATGGTAAAGAAATAAAGCTAGACTATTGGGAACGCCAACGTATGAACAGTAAGTGCACACATGTGAAAACATATCGTCATTTCTCTACATATGAATATGAAAGCAACACTTATTTACTGTTCATATATGTTTTAAATAATATTTACGAATGTAAAACAAAAATTTTACTCACCAATGGTGGTAAAGTCTAAAACATAAGGACAGCCAATGAATATTGTGTGAGTTTTTACTCAGATGACAATGTCATCAGGTTCAGCTCCGGCTGAAGCTGTAGCTTTCCATAAAGCTGTTGCTGAAACTGTTACTGAACCTGAAGTTGATGTTGAAGCTGCTTATGATGCTGAATTTGATGGTGTAGCTGAAGTTGATGGTTTAGACCTTCGAATAATAAAGCTGTCGAAAGAACCTTGCACAGCTGCTTTCTTTTCTCATTATACATCCTTATGTAGAGGTCATTTGTGTTTATTTAAATTTTAATGCTTTTTTCTGTTAATGGATCCACTTCAGAAAATATGTTCATTGCTTGCTCCATATAATATCCACTGACCTCTCACCTTTTTCATATCGTTTTAACACATCTAGTTTCTCGGCTAAGTTTATACACTTTCTGTTAGCTTTTGAAACAAGACTACCATCACTTGCTCTCTTGCTCATGTTGAATAGGGATGCAAAAATGCTGTGAGAAACCTGAGAAAGTTTTTCTCTTGTTCCTGATGGTGAAAACAAAAGGCCCGCCAAGCTCCGACTGTTGTTTACCATTCATTAGCAAAGCAGTTTCTTTGCGCAAGGCGCTCTAAATTTTTTATACAGTAATTTCTTTTTTTTTATAATACATATCGGGATTTAGTTGTTATTTATATGAAAATGCAATTTTATTTAATTTTTATTATATTTTGGTCGTAAATACTAATGAAATAAGGACGTAAATTGAATTGGGTCCTAAATTAACTAGGGTTTTAAAGATGAAAAGTTGTTGGTCAAACTGTTGTTATCGGAGGCTTTACTGTATTTAAAGAATGTCTAATTTACTCTCTAGGGTAAACTGTCTTATTCTTCTTTGCTGGAGTGTCCTTAGGCAGAGACACTTAGAGAACATTTTGGTGGAGCCATGGTGAGAAAGCAAGTGAAGTTTTTGTTTGTGGTTGTACTGAGCACTAGCATGGGTACGCTACCCGTAAACTGTAATGGACTCAACCGTTGGCCTGCTGGGAATATCTCCCCGTTGACTGTAATGGCCCAAACAAAGCGTTTTCTACCTGAATTCGTTCTTCTGAATTTTGCTGTGTTAGTCCGGCTCAACCCTCGTTCGAACGAATCTTAGCCCTGTGTTAAGCAATACCAGGTAGTAATTAAAAAAAAGTGTTCAAGTGAGTCCATGATGAACAAGGGGGTCAATGTACTGTACTGTACAGTATTGTGCTTCATCAAATTTACCTTATACTGTACTGTACTTTAACTGTATAATTAGATTAAATTGTTAATGTTACAAATAAGCTTGTAAAGTAATACCCTGTATGTGATACAGTTTATCTCATAAACTTGGTGTCTACAGTACTGTGTGTTTTTCCACTGCAGTTATATGCCGCATTCACAAGCTGCAGCCCAGAAGATCAAAGATGGGGCCCTGAAGGACAGTGAGGTTGTTGAGGATCATCGTGAGTTAATGGGCCGCTCTTTAACTCAGTCCTCAGAGACCATAAGAAAGAACAAACAGAAGCAAGAGGACCGTCCTGTTTAATGTTGTAACATCATCAAAGGAAAAATAATTACTTTTGGCTACTTATTTTTTATTTATTTTTTTTTCGTATCAATAACATTAACATGTTAAGCTTTTCATTTGATTTAAGGACTTTGTAGAATTTTATGGATGATATTTTCAGTTATATGATAACTTGATAATCTCTGAGTACTGTACTACTGTACACTCCTTTGGTGGTTGATAACATGTTGCATAAGTTATGAAAGGAAATGCATTGTTTTATCTGAATAATAAGGCATAAGTTGTTTTGAATTTTACGTATTGTATACAGAAAAAATGTGTAGCTACAGTACTGTATTTTTTTAGTGGAAATGAACTTCTTATATGAGCCATTGCTAATGTAAAATAGTATTGGCAAATTAATTTGTCCTGAATGTATATATTTCCTCCATTTCTACAAAAGAATCAGTCTTTATTTGAACATTAGATGTATCTTGTAAATAAAGGAAAATTGTAAATCAATGAGCCCCAAAATGAGTGCTGGTAGGAGTATTCGCCTTTCTCGCAAGAGAAAACATGAAGTGGATTTGCCGTGTGTGTCGGGTTCATCTTTACACGATATCACTGATGACTTTCAAGATACTGCCATTGTCTTCAGGTAAACAAAATATTAAAATTTACAACTTCATTACTGTTTTCTAAGATTAAAAATCTAAAGAAACTAGTTCAAATTTTTGTTGGACTAAAGTTATTGTACTGTACTTTGAAGGTCTGCCAATAACCTATGTACAGTAGTAGGAATGCTATGCTTTTCCTCTTGTAATTTGGTGTTGGTTCTCTATTGGTACTCATCATTGGGCACTTTCATATTCACCTATTTCTTGGCATTTGTGGGATTATAAAAGATTTTGCTGACATTCTGACAAGTGTCCTGTTTTGAAATTAATTATTTGATTTACAAGGAAGGTAAAATATATTAAGCTAATCAGGTACGGTCTCGTTCAAGATTCTTCGAACACTGCTGAAGACAGCTGGCAACTCAAGGCCGTTTGTTTACTATTGTGCATAGTAAAAATTATGAATGAATGTAAAATTGTATCGGTGATTGGTTACTTAGTTCCCTGTTGCTTAATTAATGGTTGGGCTTTGTTGTTTCATATTATATTATACTACGTACTATAGTAAACAAACGGCCCTGAGTTGCCCGCTGTCTCCAGCAGTGTTCGAAGAATCTTGACTGAGACTGTACATAGTCTCATTTACTTTGGCATTTGCACCCATTCTCAGGTTAAGATTTGCAGGTACTGTACTCACATATCTGCTGCTTGGCATATTGCAGCAGCAGTTGTACGGAAGATGTTAGTTGCAAGAAGGTATTATTAACTGAATGCAGTACAGTACAGTATTGTAGATTAATGTTTTTGCTGTGTAATAGGAGACTGAAAGTGGCCAAAAGTACAACACCTTTAATACATGTAAGATTAATCAGAGTATTGCCCAGGTCCCTTGTTTTATAAGTACCATACAGTACAGTAATTCCATCACCAGCCACGGAGGTTAGGGTTTAGAATTATCAAATGCGTAGGGCAAAACCATGGTTGGTAAGGGCTCTATTGGATGGGATATAAGGGTTTCTCGGGAAGTATCTCTGGAGAAGCGTATACTGTAATACCTCAAGGCTAAAACCTAAGCTCAAGGTTTAAAATAAGTGCAGGGTGTTTACTGTATTTAACAGTCTACCAGCTAAAGCTGAGGAATTGAGAACAGTCTGGGTTTTAAAATAACCCTTGACAAGACTTTTAACAGATAATAGAGGGATCCTACACAGGCTACTGGCCTTCTTCCTTTGGGATGGCCACCTCTAGTTTAGGTGGCCATGAGGTAAATAAGGTAAGAAGACATTTGTTCTTGTATTTAAATGTATTACAGTTTTGTGTAACAGTACACTGTACAGGTACTGTATTAGGAAAGTTTATGAAAAGCAATGTAAAGGAACAGTCTCCCCTTAACATACTTGCTATCATAGCAATGCTGCTCTCCTTAGCAACCTAAATATGTATATGATATTTTTATACCCTTAAGGTTTCATTTGCAAATTTTTTGAGATCATACGCATATGGGCAGAGAACATACACCTAGAGCTGGGCCTATTAGAGTAGGTTTGTACCCGCTCTATAAGTCTGGCAGCCACCCACACTTCTCAGTTCCCATATAGTACCCCAAAGTGCACACACTTTTGGAAGTACCATGTGTCTTTGTCTTTATCTCTCCTTTTATGTGAATACAGTTTATTAGTGAATATACAGTTTTAGTACTGTACTGTATATGGTAATTACCGGTAGTATTAATTTTTCGTAAAGGGAAATTATTTCTGTATGTATACAGTCCATATTTTTTCCTTCCAGTTTAGGTAACATTGCACCATTACATCTTTAAATTACTAGCTGTAGTAATAAAGATTCATAGGTACAGTACCATTAAGAAACAAAATATCAATGTTTCATAGATATATACAGTAAGTTGAGCCTTACCTTTCATTTATTTGTGTGGGCAGGCAATGCATAAACACTCTCCATTTCTTTCACCAGACAGGACTGTACAGGACTATACTGTATAATAGATTATCATACTTTTCATGGTTGCCTGTATTGGACAGTATTAATAAATTTGTGAATTAATTATTGATTGTATTGGGTAACAATAATGTGATAATTGTACCATATACAATAATTAGAATTAAAGGGATGAATATTACAAAAATATGAATGTTGAACGTATATAATACAGCATACAGTAATGTCTGTAATTATTCAGGTCACTTCTTTTTTACATTAGTTTGGTACAACAAATAAAAAGATCAGGAACTGGAAATAATGAAAATGGAACTAATTTAATGTGGTATGTAATTATATTGTTTTTTCAAATTTTATTTTAGGCTTCCAAAGAAGCTCAAAGCTGAAAAGTCTACTGCTCCTCCAAGGCCACGTGGTAGACCTTCGAAGAGAGGCACGGGGAAAAATGTGCAAAGTGAACATATTTTGTGTAAAGAAAAAGAAGGCCCAGATTTACACGATAACAACGATGATTTTGTTGATCATCCAGACCTGCCATGTGTGAAGACAGAGACTCAAACTCTTGATACCCAAGATGCTGCTGCTGAAGACAATAATTTTCTTTTGGACTTAGAAAAATCTATATGTTCTGAATCAGAAAAATTATGTCCTTGTTGCAAACATATTGTTCCTTGTTCTATATTTTCTGATCATTTTAAACAATGTTTGCAGAAATTTAAACTAACAAAGAGATGCTCTGAAAATAATTCATTGGTTGTAACAGCAAGTAAGGCCAAGGAAGATGATGACCAAGAAGAGACAGAGTTAGAAAGGGAAAAAAAAGACAAACCACAAGTACTTCCATGTCCTGTTTGTATGAAGGTACGTATATTACAGTGTGCAGTACAGTACTTGGCAAGGTGCTCATGTGTCCTCAATGGCTCAGAGTGTGGGTTCATAAAAAAAAAATTGTCAGGTAAAGAGCTGTCCAGGGTTTACAAAAGTGTGTACTCATGTACTGTAGCTACATGTGATGTACAGTACTGAGAGAATGGGTTGTGGAAGATTTGTGAAATGGATGTACAACTCCAAGGTTGATTGCTGGAGGGAAATGGAAGATAATGTAGATGGAAGGGTGGGGTGAGAATTCATTTGAAGTGAGGGGGATGGAGGTCCAGGAAACAGCAGTGTGGGAATTATAGGAGAGCATAAAGTTGATTGTTTTTTGGATGACAAGAAACAAAAAATGTGTTTACACCACTGGAATGTATTTCATCTAGGTTCCAGCCACATTACAAAGTACTGTAGTGGGAAATAGGTTTTAGAAGTGAAAAATACAAGAATAGGTTTCATTCTTGTTTATTATAATTATTTTATTTTTATTATTTATTTTATTTTTTAATATAAAATTCAGAGTTGATGCCAATCTCATGGTCCCCAAATCCAGTGATCAAGGTCAGTCTCAATTTATTTTTTCTTAACTAGAAGAATGATTCAGAAGGTTGCCTCCATGGCATAGAGTATCGTTTTACCTGAAGGCACTTATTTAACTTTATTTACTTTTATTTGATGTCTTACACTTTTGGCCAAAGGCTGCATTTGTAGTTGTACTGTACTATATTTACAATAAACTTTGCTGTATAATGATTCACTTATTTGTACATCTTTCTAACATTTATTCAGTCTCAAAGGTCCAAAGTCCAGCGTAGCTCCCACATGAAGAACTGTGCCCAAACTCACGGATTAACCTCAGAACAACTTCTGATGGCCTCAAGATTACTAGAAAAGCAAGTTGAAGAAAGAAGCCAGTTAGGACTTCCTCTTTTTGTGCAGCCAAATGATACCGGACAAGACAGAGGAACAGGAAAGGTAGGAATTGTGCTGTTTTCGTGTTAGATTCAGCCATTTTTCATTTATGTTCCTTTTAGTATGTGAGACATTATTAAATAACCAAGAGAAGCACATATTTTTAAGACTAAGCAGTAGCAGCGACACTTAGGAATATATAATAAAGAATACCGGGCATATCCTTTACAAATTACATCTCTTGTGTTATAAAATGCAATTAAAAAGTGATTGAGATTAGGAAAACTATGTACAGTATTTGACCTTGGTAGTGTTGGGGTCCATTTCCCTATGCCAAGTAATATGTTGCTCAAAATTGTGGCTTTTTCACAGGGTAAAATCTGTATAACTAACCCAGTGGTCAGGATATTATGGCATTGAATGTTACAGAGTATTTCAAATAAATTCTTTGTTTAGTTCTGTACATAGACTGGTGGTGGAGGAGGGATGGAAACCCCTAGTGGGAGAAACTTGATTGCTCCCCACATGCCTCTGTCAGTCACACTGTAACTTGACAAAATATTGTTTATTGTTATTTATTAATTAATAAAGATATGTTACTGTAATAATTTGAGCTTATTAACCCTTAAGCCCTGGGTTAGGGTGCTGCTGGCAGTACCCCCTTCCTCCCAGGTGAGGGGATAAATTGAGGAAAAAAAATGGCGGAAATAGGCGGACATTCTGGAACGTCACCCGGGCCTAAGGGTTAATACCATTACCCTTCATATGCAGTAATATACTATTTTACCTTATTATTCAGCTTGACTCTTAATGTTTATGCAAATTACTGATTATATACTGTATTTTTTATGGTAGTACTGTATTTAATATTTTATATTATCAATGATAAAACATACACCATAAGAGGCTGATCATGCAAGAATATATAATAATAAATGTTGGAGGATGTGTGTATGTGATGTTGAGGTGTGTTCCTGACACACACACACACACACACACACACACGGGAATTAAGACAGCATGCATCCAGTGAGGGTCTTGTGTGACTGCCTGGAGGCGAGATAAACATCAGCTGTTGAGGAACACTTGGCAACACCCACACCTTTCTGCTTTCTCATTCCATATTTTAAAATGTTATATAATATAATGTTGAAGGGATACAACTTTGCTCATTTATACTTAAACTTATCACACTCTCCTTAAAATACTTTAGCTTTTGTTTTTATTCAAGACATCTTCAGGTTATGAGACCCACTAATCCCCCACCCAAGAAAGGGTGACCTGACATTCCATCCCTGTAAATTTAGTTGCCTTTGAACATGTCTTGAATAAAGACAAAAGTTAAGGTGCTCCAGTATATACTTAGTTGACTGAGAGCTCGATTTGTAGGAAATTTCCGTTTAACGAACAGGGGTGGCTTGAATTAATTCGTTAAATTGAGAAAATACTGTACATGTACACTAACATAAATCGTGTATGTTTTCTTTAGGCAAAAGAAAGTACAGCAAGATCCATTAGAGCAGCCAAAGCAGACCCAGACTTGATGATGGCCTTGGCTCTTTCACGCTCTGCTGCTGAAGAGCAAGTTGCGAAAAGAGCTGCCAAGGAAGAGAAGTTACTTGCCCTTGGGTTAGACCAGATTGTGGATGAGGACAGAAAGGCTCAGCCCATCATATTTCCCTCCCCAGTAAAAGGTATGCATATTAGAACAAGGTTTACTATACAGGTATGTAAGTTTTGATAGGCTGTTCTTGAAAAATATATTCCTTGTCAGGTCACATGAAGCTGGATAAAAATAAATGAATATAATGTGCAAAGCAACAGGCATAAACCAGATGGATGTTATGCAGCCATGTATAGAAAGGGAAACATCATGACAATCAGAGTAAATAACAGCTGATGGAGGGACAGTGTGCTTGTCTTGAACACAGTCACCCTGGTGCATCACATTAACCCTTAAGCCCCGACTTAGGGTGCTGCTGGCAGTAACCCACCCCCCCCCTCCCTCCGCGTGGGGATAAATCGAGAAGAAAAATAAACTTTTCAAAAAATAAAAATAAATAAATAAAAAAAATGGCGGGAAATAGGCGCTAGTCGGACGTTTTGGAACGTCACCCGGGGCCTAAAGGTTAAAAAACCTGCATGAATGGGGGAAAATATAAATTATGATTAAATCAATTATGGTTAAGCAGCTACAAGAGAAGTATCTGGGAAAGGAGAGAAAGTTGAACCTTGTATTTGTAGACTTAGTGAAGGCATATGATAAGAGTTTTCCAGGGGGGTCAAGGAGTGTCTGGTACAAGTGGTTATGGCATTGTATGAGGGCTTGAGAAACTCTGTAAGAGTACAGGTAAATAGTGATAAACTTAAAGCGAAAGTAGGTGTCCACCAAGGGTCTCACTTGAGCCCCCTTTTGTTTATCATGGCTTTAGAATCACTATTGCTAAATTTTAGAACTGATCTGCCCAGGGAGGAGTTGTATTCTGATGACATCAAGTGTTGATAGTATTGAAGAGATAGTGGGGAAATTAAAGGACACTTTGGTGGCATGATGCAAAACACGTGCAATATACAGATACTGCAGCACAAAATACTGTACTGTATCACTCCGTGACTATAGACTGTATCCACGCACTGAGGACTGCAAGGTGGGAAGCTGCATACCCATGCCACGCGTATTTGCGCCTCTCTTACGGCACTTGCAATACCACACCACCGCCCTGCCAACCCAGTGATGATGTATGTTGATGGTTGCGTTATTCCAAACATAAGTCCACATAAATGAAAAAAAAAGTTATTCTAAAAATGACGCAAACCAAACCCGCATAAATCAGGAGGTACTGTATCTGTATTCTGTATGGGTATGTAAGGAAGGAATTATATTAGATTTATTTGTTTAAGAAGAAAAACTTGGGTTTCTTTTATATTAATATTGAGTTCAAAGGCTCACTACCTAGATTTTATGAGGATACTTAATGCTTCATTTAGACTTAAGTGGAAGTTTGTTTACTTTAACAGAGAGTCACCGAGCTACGGCAGGTCACCCAAGGGGTAAGGGACGAAAACGGCGTGGCAATTTTCAGAAGACAACATTAGCTATGCGTTCTGTTGAAGAAAGGGAGAGACTTATTAGTGAAAAAGTTGCATCAATATTATCCTCTGAGGATACTCCAATTGTTAACTGGGAAAACACTTCAAGTTCAGGAGCCAAAGGTCATCTCTCACAGTTTAAGGATAAGGTAAATCCTATTTATTTTTTGTATATTAGAGTAGGTGATAATGAATTTCACAGGGTTTTAGGCAGGAATTTAAGAAAACATGTATATATATATATATATATATATATATATATATATATATATATATATATATATATATATATATATATATATATATATATATATATATATATATATATATATATATATATATATGTTGTTTAAGTCTAGTTACAAGACTAGACTTAAACAACATAAATAAAGTGTTAGGACAGGCCAAGAATCCAATGCTCTGTTCGTTCATTTGAGGGATAATAAACATTGCATTGACTGGGATAATGCCTCCTCAATATTACCTTGTAATTCAATTGACAGTAGGAACATTATAGAATCTAGTCTCATTAAACATACCGAATCCGTTAACATGAATTTGAGTAATGGTATGTACAAATTGGACAATTTTGTAATTAAGAAGATTTGTAACCAGGTGAGAAGGTTGGGTCAGTTTTCCCTCTGACCTGACTACCGACCGCTGTGGTGCTTTTGTAAAGATTAGTAGGGTCATTACCTATACTTGACCTCTGTGGACTTGTTCTCACCCTCCTCTGTATATATATAACTTGTTCTGCACTTCTATTTTAGTCTGTACTCACCCCTGAAGATGTGAATTACACGAAAGCGCTTGGGAACTTTGTGTGTTCTTTTTCCTTGTGGTTATCAGCATATACCTGGATCACGTGCACCTATTGATTTATATATATATATATATATATATATATATATATATATATATATATATATATATATATATATATATATATATATATATATATATATATATATATATATATATATATATATATACACATATATATATATATATATATATATATACATATATATATATATATATATATATATACATATATATATATATATACTATATACGTTAATTCAACCCACGGCGGCCCGCGTAAAGTGAGAAACACGTAAAGTGAACAACATAACATATGGGATTAATTGAAATAGAGACCGGGCCGACCCCCAAACTCCACTTTTTCCCGACACAATACGTACGTTTTACTAAAAATAACATCTTAACTTTATGATGGTATTCACCCACACATCATATACAGTGGGGTATGCTATAACGAACGTAATTGGTTCCAGAACCTCGTTCATTATAAGATTAATCCGTTCCAGGCCCCCAAATACAACCGCTTAACACTGAAAAAATTCTGTGGAAAATGTAAAAAATACGGTACTTTATCTTACCTTAGTGTTATTCAGCATGCAGGTACCCCTAAAGACTGGCACATCACTATCACTTCCACTGGGAGTCTTGGCTTTAAGGTCCTCAAACAATTGTTTAGCCTTCTCACAAATTATAGCTTCACTAATGTTACCACCTGCCATTTCTTTCTCCTTTATCCACACTAAGAGTAAATTTTCCATCTCTTCAATCACATTACACCTTGCTTTGCTAAGTCTAAAGATTCCCTTAGCCACTTGCACAGTTTTTAACTCCTCTTTATTCTTCAAAATCGTACATATAGTCGATTTAGCCATCCCATATTCATCACTAAGTTTCGCAATGCTTCTTCCATTCTCACGTTTCTTTATAATTTCTTTCTTAGTTTCAAGGGTTATTAGCTTTCTCACTCGCTTTGGACGACTCATTGTTACAATTGTATACTTGTATAACAAAATAGTTATACAAATAACGCGAATTTCCACATCAAAAGACGAAATTTCAACAATAACAGTGGTGCACTGGCTACACAATGAGACAAAGATGGCGCCTGACGCTCTTGTTGTGGGTCGCGGTACAACAATATTCATGCGCCAGGCGAAATAGTCCCGTATTCATCCGCGTTCGTTGTAAGAGTTGCGTTCGTTATAGCATTCTCAATTTTATAGGTAAAACCGTTCGTTATAGGAATATTCGTAGTAGGATCCGTTCGTTATAGCATACCCCACTGTAGAAGGGAACAGTCAATAAACTGAAGGTTAGGTTAGAAAAAAACAAGGTTGGGGTTAACACTTACGTTAGTAGAAGAGATGGGTCGGCGTACGGGAATGGAGGCTGGTTCCGAGGCAGAGGGCAGGCTACTGGCCCTCAGGTGAGTCACCATCACTGTCATCCACACTTGTCAGGGCCTCCCTGACAAATCCCTCAAAGTCATCATCACTGTCTCTACCTCTGTCACTATCACTGGCTTGGGCTGGCTGTGGTGGGTTGCGGGCGAAGAACTCTGTTATGCTTTGCTGACGGCTGGTGTTTATGTTGTCGTGATAAACCTTGATGTAGGGCTCCATAGTCTGCAACAGCTGGGTAGTGAAGATTTCATACCTGTTTGCGTCAGGGTCGTCGGAAAGGAGGAGCTTGGCTTTCTCGATACACTCGATGGCACCCCTAACATTACTATGGGATAAGCGGCGTTCTTCTTGGGATGACGCACCACCTGCCTCTTCACTGACGTCATCATCATCTACCATCTCGTCGGTAGTCACATCAGGATCCCTTATCACCTCCAGGATGTCGTCGTTGGTGGTCTCGGAGAAGCCTGCAGCTGTAACACTCTGCGCAGCTTCTCTGGCAAGGTCCACTGCTACTGCAACAGTCTGAACCTCACCAGTCACAGATTGACTCTGCCTAACGGCCGGAATGCCTTGCAACACATGTCTCCATGTGTGACGAACAGTTGCTACAGACAGCTGATCCCATGCCTCCACCAAGAAGTCCACAGCTTTCTTGACGTTGAATATTCTCCAGAATTGTTTTAAAAGTACTTCTTGCTCTGCCAACTGTTGATCCTCGTCGTCTTCGCTCTTGCTATCGGTGTTGGTGTCACTCAGGTTACGCAACTCTTCCCTGGTGTTGGTGTAGTCGTTCAGGAGCTTGAATTTTTTAGTAGAGAATGCAGCTTTTACATTACAGATTAACTCTTGGTCCATGGGCTGTAATATAGACGTAGTGTTGGGAGGAAGGAAGACCACTTTTACGTTGGGGTGACGATCTAGCAGTAGGGGCGAGTGTCCTGGTGCGTTGTCCAGCAGCAACAAAATCTTGAATGGCACATTCTGTTGCTCACAGAATTTCTTCACATCGGGAACGAAACAGTCATCAAACCAGGAGAGGGACAGTGTAGAGAACATCTACGCCTTACGTGCGGTCAGCCTGTGGACATTTAGCTTGGTCATGTCCATGCTTGCGTGCTGTGTGGATCACTGATAACTTGAGCTTACAGGTACCGGAGGCATTGCTGGTAAACAGGACAGTGATGCGCTCCTTCTGCAACTTCCGGCCCCGAATCTTGCTGGCATTCTTCACAGCGAAGGTCTTGGAAGGTAGCTTTTTCCAAAAAAGACCAGATTCGTCCATGTTAAACACCTGGTCGTCGGTGTACTGTCCTTCCTCCATAATCTCACGTAAAAACGTAGGAAATTCCCTAGCCGCAACACGGTCAGCACTAGCTTCTTCACCACCAAGGTTGATATTGGTGATCTTGTTTCTCTTCTTAAACCTCTGTAACCACCCAGAGGAAGCATTAAAGGGTTTGGGCTCTGTAATTCCCATCTTTCGTGACACTGCAGCATACAGTTCACGTGCGTACTCCTTAACTGAGCGCGTGTCCACTGCCATGTTCTGTCGCGCCTGACGCACCAAGTAGCTCACAAGTAATTTTTCCGTCTTGAGAAGCACCTGGTTGTGGAAATACTTGATCATAGAAGCACCTGTAGACTGTGTGATGTTCATGTGCTCCTTTATCTTGGCTGCATCCTTCTTTATCGTCCGGATCGTAGATTCGTTCACACCATGCTGGCGCGCCAAATCAACCTGTCTTGTTCCTTTCTCCAACTCTTGGATGATCTTGTACTTCACCTCGTAGCTTAAGGAACGTCGTGTCTTCTTTGGCTTAGGGCGGCTGGGTCCAGGTAAGGAAAGGTTTCTCTTTGGGGGCGGTGGTCCGGCGGAAGTTATTTTACAGAACAATGGAGGCACGTTTACACGGTGTGGCCTGGAGGGATGAAACTGCCGCGGCTAGGTCAAGCGTCGTCTTTCCTCCCTCCTTCCCGCGGGTGGACACGTCATATTACTTTAAACCAATCACAGCTAGCAGCGGAGGGAGGTAAGGATGCATGGCCCAATTACAGTCCGATACGTCATATGACGTCACTGATAACGCAACAAAGAGACACACTGCGCAACCTACTCGCACCGCTTACACAACATGGCGGATGGCGGGAGTGATGGAGGGAGGTTTGGATCCAAAAATGGTGCAGCTCGCCAGCCGCTCTCCGCGTAAAGGTACACGTACCGCGGAATGTGAGCATTCCGGTTTCGGCAGGGTACCGTGGAAACGCGGAATGTGGGACCGCGTAAAGTGAGGGTTGACTGTATATATATATATATATATATATATATATATATATATATATATATATATATATATATATATATATATATATATATATATATATATATATATATATATATATATCTATAGATCTATCAGTATATATATATATATATATATATATATATATATATATATATATATATATATATATATATATATATATATATATATATAGTCATGATAGATAGATAGATAGATAGATAGATAGATAGATAGATAGATAGATAGATATGATAATATATATATATATATATATATATATATATATATATATATATATATATATCTATCTATCTATCTATCTAGATAGATAGATAGATAGATAGATATAGATAGATAGATAGATAGATAGATAGATAGATATATATATATATATATATATATATATATATATATATATATATATATATATATATATATATATATATATATATATATATATATATATATCAGATTTGTGTCAATTGAACCCATGGGGAACACTTAGAAAGTGAAAACGCGTTAAGTGAACAACAGAGCATATGGGATTAATTCCAATAGAGACTGGCCCGACCCCCAAACTCCACTTTTTCAGACACAATACCTATGTTGTAGTAAAAATTACATCTTAATTTTATGATGGTATGCACACACAATTAATAATTATGAGAAATATCAATAATATTAGTTTTTTTAACACTTACATTAGTAGAAAAGATGGCTGGGCACACAGGGTTGGGGGGGTTGGTTCCGAGGCAGAGGGCAGATTATTGGCCCTCACCTGTATCACTTGTATCAATTGTATCACTATCCACCACAGAGGCTTGCAGGGCCTCTTTGTCAAGCCCCTCAAAGTCCATATAAGTCCATATCCTCACTATCACAATCACTGACTTGGGCCGGCTGTGGTGGGTGGCGGGTGAAGAACTCGGTAATGTTTTGATGACTGGGCGACCTTGTGCGCATCCTGCCCGCGCTGCTTCCCGCGTATATGAGTAGATGCACTGCGTAAAGTGAAAGTCCGGTTCTGGCGAGGTACCGCGTAAATGCGAAATCGCGGAAAGTGAAACCGCGTAAAGCAGGGTAATACTGTATATATATATATATGTGTGTGTCACCTGTCCCTCTATTCAGGGGAACTACAGTATACATGTTGAATGTGTATTTATAAAATTGACCCCTCCTGTATTACAGATATCTCCCTGTTTACGATGGGGTTGCTTTCCTGAAAACCCATTGCAGGTCGAAATAACGCATATCATGATCATATAACATGGGGTTCAATGGGATATGTTTCCAGCCAGTCCGACACCCATATGTTTCACCGAAAATAAAATTCCTACAATAATAATACAGTACAATACAAGGTGTGAACTAAAAGTTCCCGGACTGGCTTCGTAAAACCTTTCTCTTAACAGATATCGAATTAAAATCATCAGCAGTTACTCACCTTGGGTATAAGTTGTTTACTGCATCGATTTGGCGGGAATCTGTGTCACCAACCGGCCATAGTGGAGCTTTGTGCGAGTGTCTGTACCAGCCCATCTGCTAAGTCGAGTCAGTCCCCACACAACCCTCGAGCAATGCTGTGCCATCAGATTTTGCTTCAGACTTGAAAAAATTGGTGCAGAAACCCATGAAATGACCAAGGAAGTCTACAAAGATGAAGCAATGTCCAGGGCTCAAGTTTTCAGGGGGCACAAATGCTTCAAAGAAGGGTGCACTTCCTTTGAAAATGAGCTTTGTTTTGGGTAGCCTTCCACTGAAAGAAGTGAGGAAAATGTCCAGAAAAATGACCAACTTGTCCATGAAGAGCGTCAGGGGACCATCTGCGAGATTGCCAAGCAGTTGGACCTTTCATATGGAAATGTTAACCAGATTCTGACTGACGACTGGCAATTGGCTCCTTCACCAGGACAATGCACCTCAGCACACTGCCCTCACTGTGAATGATTTTCTGGCAAAGCACGGCATTCCAGTTGTCTCCCATCCCCCATACTCTCCAGATTGGGCCCCCTGTGACTTCTGGCTGTTTCCCAAGTTCAAGTTGAACCTCGAGGGAAAGAAGATCATGGACAGAATGGAGATCCACATAGCAGGAGGTGCTCTCCAGTCTCACCAACAAGGACTTCCAGAAGTGGGAGGAGGGGATTCAGTGCTGCATTGGGGCCTCTGAAGAATATTTTGAGGGTGACTTAAAGTTTCATTGTAACATCTTGAAAAATAATGATTTTATGAAGACAGTCCGGGAACTATTAGATCACACCTCGTATATATAAAATACAATTGAATAACACCACTCGCCACATTATTAAGAACAATTCTGGTCATCACATGTCCCTTTCGAGGCTAAGGGGACTCTTGATGGTGGAGTGGAGACGTCACTCTGTCTCCCACACAGCTTCTCAATGTCAAGCCTTCCCAGACATTTTCAAAGTTACACAAAAACAGCAAAAGCGCCTGTCATAAAAAAAGTGAACGATGATAACTTACAAACATCATGTTCACAACAACAGAGGCAAGCACTTTACAGTCACCAAAACAGAGTACAATGTGAATGTTAATGATGTTCTTACACTGTAAGGTAAAAAAACAACAAAAAACCCACCGATGATAAGTATTGTAACAACACCGAGACTGATAATCGTTGAGCTACACGATCATGGCTGTGTGCGATCACCATGGAGCAAACCCTGGTACAGTAGTGCACTGAATAGCTGTGTGGCGGCATGTTGGTAGACCGCAGCTGTCAAGTGCAGCAAGAGATGTGTTCCATATTCTGCGCGTCAGCGATTTTGGCTGGACGATGACCATCGTTCATGCAGATTTATTTGTTTGAACCATCGTTCAAGTGAAATATTTTAGATAGGGTGATCGTAAATTGAGGGATATACCTATAATTATCTGTAGTGAAAAAGGTGTTTTCATAAAAATTTCTTGACAGGATTGCAGATTATGGGATGCTGCTCATAGATGCACTGATCACCCTCTTGAGGAGTTCTATGTTCCTGAGCTTGAACCATACATTAAACCAAAGAAAGTTGAAGTGGGAGGACTTTTAAGAAGCCTTTCACAAATTCCTGGACGTTTGAATCTGACTTCTCGACATGCAGTGAGTGATGAGGTAATAACCCTTCTCCTTTCTTGCAAACACTTTCCCCTTCATTAATGTATTACATCTTGTTTAACTGAGGTACTTCATACAACCCAGCATGTATGATAGAGTTTGCAAAGCTTTTATTAAATTTCCATTGCAAAAATAATTAGAGGAGAAATGTAAAGTTGTATTTATTTTATATATTTTTGCCTGAATCAGTGAAGAGCATGGAATTGCATGATTTTTTGAGAACAATGTACTGATGGATGATGCTGGCTTGGTTGAAGCAGTGAGACCCTCTTTTTATGGGCATTTCATTGTGGTACACATCTTTTCAGAAGTGAAAATCAATGAATGGTAATACATGAATGGCTGTGTATTTACTTGCTCTTGTTTCCAGTCCCCTGCATTAAGCAGAAAAGGCTTATAATCTGTGATGGAATCCTATAGAGTCTTGCATATCCAGTTAAATTCTTGAATAATTTTGGGGGCACCATGCAACTTGCTTGCATAATTCCCAACTCAAATTCCCTTAAAATGTTCTATATTAAGCTGCAATTTGAAGATCTATGTTTAGCAGAAAAGGTATGTGCAGGGAATATTTGTGTAGGACCTAAAGTTAAGCATCAACCCTTCTCATATGAGGTTACCAATTCAAAATTGATGGAGATGACACATAGGATGCTAACTTGTATTGTGATGTTAAGTTGGAATATGAAATGGTGTTTATTGTGCAGAGTGTAGAGGGATTGTTAAGTTTTGCTTTGCAGGTTTAAAAGTGGATGATACAGTAACCCTTCACCAACTCGGACCAATTGGGGGAAACAGCAGTCTGAGTAGGTTAGAGTCTGACCTAGGTCTGAGATCTGAGGGCAATTAGTCTGAGATAGAAAGGAGAGTTCGGGTCTGCCCTTGGTTCGAGAATTTAAGGACAATAGAGATGGAAGGGAAACTTTGCTTCAAGTACTTTGAGAGATGTCAGTATAGAAGGCATTACATAGATACAATCTAACTAAAAAATGTTTTATAGAAGAGTTTAGAGAATATTCACCGGCTAATCACGTGGACACAGCGGCCATATCACGTGTTCTGTTAAAGAGTGTTTTGAAATGATGAAATTAGTGTTAACGTGAGAAAAATTGGTGTCTTAAGAATTTATTAATTTATTCTATTCCTCGCTGGTCATTTTCCTAATTTAACAATGGTACTGAAGTGTATCTTCTTTGCCGTTAGTGTAAAAACATTAATTATGTCTTTAATGTTTCGATTCTTAGAGAAACATTAAATGTTTTTAATACTGTTTGTTTTGTGAAATAAATTTTAAAGGTTTAATAAATAAATTAAAAGACAGTTTTTACGCTGATGAAAACATAGTTCTACCCGCCGTCAATAAATGCCAACACGAGTGGTCGTGCCATCTGCTGATTACGTGAATACTGTTAACTACAGCTTTATCATGTACAGGAGCACCTCGACTTACGACCACCCGGACATACGTCCGCCGCAGTCGTATAAAATATTTTTCAAATTACATATTTTCGAGTCCCAACGTTAGTGATCGCGCTGTGTACTGACAAAATTTTCGTTTGTAATTCCCTTTAAAATGGCTGGCAAGCGTAAAAGTGAGAGTTCTCGTGGTGCTGAGAAGAAAAAGAGACACCCACTTTAGATTTTCTATGTACAGCTCCTCGCTGACTTACGACAGGGTTAGGGACCCAAATCCAGGTCGTAAGTCGAAATGGTCATAAGTTGAAAATGCTTAAATAATACATAGAAAATCTAAAATGGGTGTCTCTTTTTCTTCTCAGCACCACAAAACTCTCACTTTTAAGCTTGCCAGCCATTTTAAAGAGTTACAGACGAAAATTTTGTCTGTACTGACGTTGGGACTCGAAAATACGTAATTTGACAAAATTTTGGTACGACTGAGGCAGGTCGTAAGTGCGGGTGGTTGTAAGTCGAGTAGGTCATAAGTCGGGGAGGAGCTGTATTATTTTTGCATTTTCGACTTACGACCTGGTCGTCAGTCCCTAACCCCGTCGTAAGTCGAGGACTGACTGTATTTTGACTTGGGTGACAATGCATTGTAAACTAATGAATAATTATGTGTTATAATGTAAATAAGAGAAGTAATTAGTTAAACATGTATAAGTAATTGTTAATGAAAAATACCCACTTAAGATATCAATGAATAAAACTAACCTTAAAGTTATCATAATGTGCAATTACAAGGAGACCAATAATGAATGTGACTACACATCCACAGACCTACAATATATCCACTAAACATCCACTTCATCTCCATTAAACATCATATGAGGCGTACCGCATCGTAAGGTGTATTCAGACCATCCGGGCAAAACCCGTTTTTTTTTTGTTGGAAAGCACTATTTACGGCGTAGCTCTATGCGATGGTAGTTGATAAGATCTCATTACTACACCGTAAGTAAGGTTGAAAGCCCTTTGGAAATAGGGTAGAACATCAATTTGTGGCAGACAGGAAATTATGGGCTTGGCTTTTGCGTAGTAAGGTGCTCTCATCCCGTCAGTGAGTGAGTGAGAGGAGTGGGCAGCCAATCACAGAGGCCAGCTTACACCCTCCTCTTCCGTCTCAGCCAATGACAGTGAGCGCTTGCTATCTACGTCACGGCCCCTCCAGCGGGCGGGATCTACACTATGATATCGATTAAAGTAAAAAAAAGCCATAAGCGGGTGGGAGTTTTGTTGCTTCAAGTCAACATTGCAACAATCCACGCTATCTACCATCTGCAAGTACAGTCCATGTATTAATTGTTTCAAATATTTACATCTACAGCAAATTATAAAACACTAGTTCACTAAAGATAAAAATAAGACACATAGCATTACACATGATTATTTGCAAATCTTTCTATCGGGATTAATCAATAACTGATTCTCAAAATTATGGCTGTCCAATCAGGATCTTTTAGGCCTAAATATAAGACCAGCATGACCTACCGAAAGTGAATACGTTCAGCCACTTCTCCCTACAATCCATTGCAGGGATAATGAACGGGCTGAAAATATATCCATCCAACACTCTGATCACTTTCTTCCTGCTCGCATTGGGTTAGGATACAGATCTATCTGGCAAGTATCTAAGGCGGGGGAATGACCCACAGTTCACTTCCTGTAAACTCTGTAACTGTCCCAACACTAACACCCTTCAACACTATTGCCTTGACTGTCTCACTGTCAGGGACCTCCTACCACAGGAAGAGTCACTAACCACTATATGTCACCACCTACTTATTCGTAATAATTTAGATTTAATTCTTGACTGCCCCCACTGCATTGGTGGGTGCTAATTCTCATTGTCCTTAGATCATATCAATATTGTCTCCATCTCACAAGTCACAGTGTGCCCTGCGAGACATGAGTACCAATGTATTAGTGTCGGACCGCATGGTCTTGTGACTAGGCTTGTCACCCCAGCATAACCAAACACACTCACAAGTAGCAGATGCAGGTAGTGGGGTGTTACTTGAGAAATAAGTCACATAATGTTGGCAAAGACCTCAGTAGCTACATTCCATCCCTTGGACATGCCAAGTAGCTATCAAGCTCCTTCAGTTGAGGAGTTTGTGGATGATTGTTGCCTCCATAGTGACTGAGTGTGACTAAGACTCACCGTGAACTGTCCCTCTAATGGAGGTGTGGTTGTGGTGATGTCACTTTTCAATTCTAATAGATGAGTGGCTGAATTTTTTGCACCACGTAACATCTGGTGGGTGCGGGGAGAGGTGGGGGGGTGCAGTGGTACTTAGATATTTAGCTTAGTTATTTAGGCAGAATTTTAAATATACTCAGTCTCACACATATGAATAGATACAGGCTTTATATCTAAGATGGAATTATGTTCAGCATTTTAGAATCACAGCATCTTTGAAATTAATTTTAGGTACAGGTATATGCAAAGAGCAACTGAGGTCTAACAGGAATATGAAGCCCTTGAAGGAAAAGTGGGAAGAAGAGAGGGGATTCAGGGGGGAGGGGGATAAAAGGGTGGCTATGTGGGGTGGGTGGTCAAGTTGCTAATGGACACAAGAAGATAAAAAGGAAAGCCCGCTGTCATGGCCACTGCCACCTGACCTGACCTGACCTGACGTCACCTCGCCTCGTGAGACCTCTAGGTACAGCATGTTCTTAAAATTTGCCGGGGTTAGGTTCTCAAAATGGCCGCGAATTGCGAAATCCGTGAATAACATACAAATAAATAATAATGGGAAAATCCTCTCACAAATAATTATCAGAAACAAATTTATTAAAAATGTGAGTCTACCCTCAAGTCTACTCCGTGCTTTGTTATTAATAAAGCGCGGAATAGACAGAACGAATGGCTCCCTGTCCCGGCCGTAAAAATGCTGGCAACTTTAAAACTACCCGCAGACATTCTTGGGTACATCCAGTGTTTCATCCACAAATAATAGAGGACCGCAAATTATCCGGGCATATTGTATGTGACTGCATGGTGTTTCCCCACACCCTATCCTTCACGGCTTCACCCACACAACTCTTTTACCAAGATTAATAATTAGTTAATTAAAAAATATATTATTAGTTTGCATGTAACAAATAACGATTTTGTTTTTTTCAATTGTATTGGAGTAAAGGTATTAGAAAACCATACTAAAGTAAAAGCTCTAAAAAAATTAGTACTTTTTAAAAAGTAAATACCCCAAAAATGTTACTTTAGTACAGTATTTTAGTAAATTTATTTAGTTACTTTACAACTTTGATATTCATAGCAAGCAATTTGAATGTTTGCTGAAATCAAGGTGAAATTTTACTATGAGAATGGACAAATGGGACACCCTGTTGATTAAAATTCTGGTGACATTATGTTTTCTTAAAATTTGATTGCAAGTTCAAATTACTTGTACCGTGTTCATGATAATTGGGATATGTTCAGGTGCCCATTGTAAAGATGGGGGTGGGGGTGGGTTACACTTCTTTCTCTCCCTTTGTTCTCAGAAATTCACATTGTTTTATGTACAAGTTATAACACTTTGATGGAGGATCTGTCCCTGGGTCCCCTTAGGAGTGCAGCAAATTCAATAAGACATCTTCACTTTCATATCTCTTCTTTTCAAACTGAGCTTGTGTAGAAACTTATATACATTGTTATAGTGAAAGCCATTATGTTTCTAACCCTCATGGCATGTGGGATGTTTCGATTGGTTTATTAACACCCAAAATTCTATATAAACGGTGGGGTTCAGAGTTAATTGATATAGCAATGAGAAGGTGAGCCTAATTTGAGCAAATTTCAAATTGCTTACAACAAAAATTAACAAAAACTTTTATGGTAAACAATAAAATTGATACATAGCATATCATAAAATACAATACAATAGCACATAATTCATGTTCAAAAAATAGCTCCTTCTGCACTCAAACCATCCTTTGGGTTCAGCAAGGCAGCCACCCAGATGACTCAGAAATGTGTGTACGTACTGTATATGCTGTGTTGTGTGTATGCCGTGCTGTCACATCGGAGGCGGCACCGTGACTGAACTGGCAGCTCAGTTACAGCTCACTGCCTCCATACATACTGTAAATGCCCATGATCTTCATTTTTCTTATTGTATAGTTTTATTTCTAAATCATGTTAGAGTATTGTAATTATTTTTCCACAACTTTTATACCATAGTTTCATTGCATGTAACTATGGTAACATGCATATAGCCATTTTACAGGCCACCTCATCTTCCTCCACCTGTGTATTGATGAGTACTCAATTATACTGTGTTTCTATTTAATTATATATTTATGTATTACAGTATTTGTGTGTGCTATGTCAGTTAGAGAGAAAACAATTCAGTACAGTAGGGTCGGGATATATCTCGAGATAGGGTATAAGGTTGTTCGCCATATACAGTACTAAGTCGCAATATATAATTACATGTAATCAATGGGGAAAATAGGGTTAGGTTCTGGAGGCCAATAAAAGTGACTAAACTTGACTTAACGAGTTCATTTTCTTACTAACTAAAGCACCAGTGAACACTAGACTCAGGAACAACAGACTGTTTCAATATCAATATCAAGGAACACCAGACTCAGCAGCTGACACACCATCCTGGGAACACCAGACTCAGTAGCAGACGCCACACTGCCACCCTCACTTTACAATCCTACACCTATATAAACGAACAAACCAAAAATATTAGTTACAGTATTAAATCTTTTCCATTAAGTTTTCCATTCTCTTCACTTCACTTTTCCCGTCACTAGCAACCCATTTACACTCACCTTAGAAGTCATAATCTGCAGCAGAGTCGGCTGCTTACTCGTCACTCACTCAGAAAGACTGAGCATGAATGCATGGGTGAGCAACCACGGTGGCGCCTCTGGTGAGCAAATAACGCATTTGTTTGCAATGGCGGTACATTTGAAATATTTCCTGCCCGATATCCCTTGTGAAATAAATAAATTTATCGCTATGCAGTCTCTCCTTGACTTACAATGGGGTTCTGTCCCAACGACCAGGTCGTAAGTCAAAAAGGCGAAAATAATACATAGAAATTCTAAAATGGGTGTCTCTTTTTCTTCTCAGCACCACGAGAATTTTCACTTTTATGCTTGCCAGCCATTTCAAAGGGAATTACAAATTAAAAAAATTTCAGTACACAGCGCGATCACTAACATTGGGACTCGAAAATAAGTAATGTGAAAAATATTTTATACGACCATGGCCATTGTATATCCGGGTTGTCGTAAGTCGAGGAGAGACTGTATATTGGAAAAAGTCGATATTTTTGGGAGTCGTGATATATATATATATATATATATATATATATATATATATATATATATATATATATATATATATATATATATATATATATATATATATATATATATATATATATATATATATATATATATATATATATATATATATATATATATATATATATATATATATATATATATATATATATATATATATATATATTTTTTTCTTATAAAAGTCATATCCCGACCCTACATATTGGATCATGGAACCTATCCCCCTTTCTCTCATGTTAAAAGATGTTCGCTATAAACAAATTCGCTGTGCATGCATCCCTCGTTTAAAGCAAGGGAGTAGTTTATATATACTGTACCAAGGTTAGGTTAACATGTTTCTTATAGACATTCTTAAGTCGAATTTCTACATAATTTGGAACACATGCTATGTACATACTGTACTTACAGAACAATGTTTAACATTCCACTATATCATAGCCTTAGTCCTTATATACATCTAAAAATCACTTAATTTAAGACAAAAGAAGAAATACAATGACAAAATACAGTAAAAATAAGTTTCAGGTAAATAAAATACTCCCGTACTATAAATTTCAAGTTTAACCCTGTTCGTATTGGCGGGCATTTGTAAGTCGGACGTTCGTAAATCGAGGACCCCATGTAAACGCCTTTAACTATGCAACAGATAAATCTATTACAGGTACATTAATTTGTTTTTTCTCTATTTCCAGAATTCTGACTCAGGATCTGAATGTGAAGAAACATCTGTGGTTGACGGCTACTGCACGCAGCTAGCCCTTGCTGAGCTCTTAGGTTCTCAAGATTGTCTTGAATATACCTGCAATGATATCTGTTTTGATGCAGATCAAGCCATGCCTCAAGAAATTGAATCTGCCACAGATCCCAATGAAACTGTGGAGGCTGGGAGTGGTTTTTGGCTTGTTCACTCAAGTGATGAAGGAAAAAGTAAAGATTATGATGAGACTTACAAAAAAATTAAGAGTGAAGGTGGTGGAAAAACAGTGGAGAGCATAGTAGTAGAGAGAAATAATGAGTCATGCAAGGAAAGTACAAGTGTTAATAGTGACAGTAAAGTTGAGCATCAAAATGATAGTCTGGGTGATGACTTAATAGGTTCCATTGTGGAGGATGACTGTAAAATGTTAGATGAAGATATGAAGGAGTGTGACACTGAAAAAGATGAAATAAATATCCAGGGAAATCTGTCAAAAGAATCCTGGATACAAATCGATAGGGATAATTTAATCAGTGATAGCCCTCAAGAAAGAGATATTACTGATACTGAATCTGTAGACAACAAATACCTGAAAAATAATAGTAAAAAAGATTATAAACCAGGTATAAACTTGGCACAAATTGAAGTTTTAAGTAATCCTCACATCAGTGAATGTCAAGATGAAGATAATTCAGATTGTGAAGTGTTAGCAGTCTTGAATAAGAGTTCAGAATGCACATTAAATACTGAATTAGAAAATGACCCTGTTTGCTGCACAATCTTACCTTCTGCCTGTGATAGCTCAGAGGATAAGATATCCTCTGAAAAATCCTCAGGTTTAGAGCTAGTGCAAAACAGGGATGAAGAAGAAGGGTCAATTAGCTGTGTTAAAGATAAAGCGAGCAATGCATCTGTAAATTCAGATCATTCAAATGACTCTTTTGCAACCCAAATCTTACAAGAAAATAAAATTTCATGTGATGTTGCATCTGTACATTCAGATGATTCTATTTCAACCCAAATCTTCTCAGAGGATGGTAATCAGATTTCATGCATTGCTACCTGTACAAAAAGTTTTCTTGAAGATGACACCATCCTCCATTCAGGTAATAAGCTTCCAGCCTCAAGTAAAGATAATGTCTCAAGACAAACTGATAGAGACAAGAAAGAGGAAAAATCTGTAAAAAGTCTTTCCTTGAATATTGCAATTGGAGGGAAAACAAGCAATCCCTGCATTGGTTTTCAAAGTGACTGCAGAAATGTGGATTTAGTGACTTTGCAGGACAGTGATTGCAGTGAACCACCACCATTACAATTAAAACAAAAAGGCAAAAGTAACTTGATGACATTTCCTGTAGGTGATAGTGATGCTATTTTACAAAGGGCAGAAGAAAGTTGTGGAGAAATATTCTCATTGCAGAAAACATTACCAATTTCTGATGAAGGGTTAAATAATGAGACAGTAAATCATGATATGGAGACAATTAAGTTGCCTCCTTCAAGAAAAATTACAGATGAGATGAAAAAAGGTCGCTTAAATTACTTGAGATCACAGCTAGTAAACCAAGATAAATGTGTGGAAACAAAGTCCATGGAAGACAAATTTCTTCTTGATTGGAGTGCACTACTAGCAAGTGAAGATGAGAGTGATGTCACTGTAACAACATCAGATAGCAGCAGCATTTCAATCCACTCTCTAGTCTTAATTGTAAGATGTCCTCAGCTCTATAAAGAAGTGAAGGAGAACAAGATGCAAGTTAAATGGGAAGGAATTTCATTTGAAGGAGCACACACATTTCTAGCATATCTGTACACTGGTACTTGTAAAATAAAGGTGAAGGATGATCCACTGTGGATGGATACCTTTGATTTAGCTCTTCAGTATAAATGTAAAGATCTTATATCATATCTAGAATCTCTTTACAAAGCCAGTTCTTCTCCGATCAAAGCAGTCTCTCTTGAAAATAGTCCCAACACTTCTAGGGTCATGAATAATAACACAAGTTCAAATGCAGACATTTGTTTAGCTTCAAAAAGATTAAGAAGCTTACAAGAAAAAAGAGGAGAAAGTGGGAGAATAGTGAGGCGTCAACTTAATTTGTCCCCAATTTGTAAAAAAACTCCAGAAGTTGTACTTAAAACTCCAGAAAGGAGGAACTCGCCAGCAAACATTGATAAAGAAAATTCATCGACTGGTGATAATGTGGAAAGAATTAGGGACACGCATATCAACCGAGGACTTCAGTCTCCTGATTTATTTGAGGAGTCTGTTCTTAGTGAAGATCCTTCACCTTCTCCACCAACACTAGTCTATCCTAATCTATCTCCATGTGAGGAAAGTGTAGCTGCTGTGCCTTCAGAACCAAGATTTTCCTCTGCTTTGGGTCCAGATAAAAATTCATCTGGTAAATTAGACTCCTTAGGTCAGCACTCGAGATCTTCATTGAATGTCCCTGCAAGTGATGTGAAAGTTTCTTCAGAAGCCTTGCCTCTTCTCAGTCCCCAAAGGACAAAGAAAATGAATAATGAAAAGCTCCTTGAAAATGAGCAAAGTTTTGAGCGTAGGAGTGCAGGCAATATATCTGACCAAACTTGTAGTTTGTCGAGTATAAAAGACACAAGATCCTCACTATTATTAAAAGCAGCTGATCAAAATGAATTTAAGGACTGTCCTGAAGTAGATGAACATTGTATGGACTATCCAGAAGCAGAGAATGACTATATGGCCTGTCATAAGTCAAATGAAGAGAACACGGACCACCCAAAGCCATATGGAGAGAACATAATTGACTGTCCTGAAGTAGGTGATGATATCTTCAGTAACTGTCCTGAAATAGGTGATAGTATCTTCAGTAACTGTCCAGAAGTAGTTGAAGGTAACATGATTGATCTAACTCTCAGTAGTTCTGATAGTTCTCCTGACTTGGATCTTACTGATGAAGAAATGGAACCATGGACAAATATGAAAACTCCTAATACTAATAAAAACATTTCTCAACAAGAACTAGACACTGTAGATGCTCCTGATGCACCAGTCCAAAATTTGACAGAAGATGAAAACCCAGACATGGAACAAGAGAATGTAAATGAACCGTACATCACCAACGTATGGGAGGATTTTGATGATGTAGGTTGTGCTTTGCCATATCCCATAGATGATTGTCCAACACCTGCAAAATATCCAGAAGTGACTGAAGCTAATGTTCATACTGATGATAATATTTTACCCATTTTAAGACAAATTTCTCAGAAAAGGAAAGAAAGCCCTTTCTCTAGCACTAAGAGGAATGTTTGTGGTGCAAGTTCTTCTCAGTGTGAGCCAGATTTTGCTCCACTGTGTGAATTGCCTGTGACAGAAGCCTCAACAAGGAAGTCTTCAGAGAAAATTGACATTAGCTCATCGAGAACAAAATTCAGAGGATCGGCATTAAAAGGAGGAGCTAAATCATTATGTGAAGATGCAAATACAATAGTGTCAGGATCTTTTATTGGCAATGAAACCTTGGTTCAGCTAACAGAGGACCTTGAAGATAGCTTAATTTGGAAAGAGTTTGAAAAGGAAGATGATGAAGGTTTCAAACAAATGTCTAAAAAAAGTTGCAAATCTGTGAATTTTCAAGAAGCAATTCCTAATCTGACGACACCTGAAACAAACAAAACATCAAAGAGGAAAACTGTGACACCATTGCCTGATTATAAGAATATGTCCACTCCCAATCTTAAGGTAAGTTAAATAGTGGATATTTTATCTCTCTAACTTACATGCAGTATAAGGTATTTTTTCTCTTGTTCTGTATAGAATTCCTTATATGCAAATTTAATATTTACTGGATTTCAGATCCTGATATAGATTGGTCAAGAATTTCTTGATTTAAAATTTAGCAAAACATTCATCATGTGGTGTTTTGAATACATTGCCGATATATTCACTTATTACCAGCTTAACAAACTTGTATGCTTGGGGCATGAGACCAAGAAGAAAGAATTAGATGGAGTGTCTGGGCTTGGAAATGGTGAGGCATGAATAAAGAAGACGAGGTTGATGTAGTTAAGATAGAGGAGAATGGGCTAAGGTCCAGTGTTGAGTTCTATGGGTATGGTTGTTGCCAGAATGAGAGTGGGTGGAAATGGACTTTCTGGTTAGTATCGTGTGTGTGTGTGTACAGTCTTTTGGTTATCTATAGTATGTATTCTGAATTTTTATACTGAAAGTTCTGTTTTTCCAGGAAGAATTATCAAAATATGGTGTGCGACCACTGGGTCGTCGGAAGGCTGTGGTACTCCTGCAGCATGTGTATGAAGAGACTCATCCCCTTGTTACTGATAGTGAGGCTGAGAGTAGCTTTTGTGAAACTCCTCACCAGAGAACACCCTTAAGGCTTACATCTAAGTTTGGTAATGATGATGTAATTTTATTTTATATATTTATTTACAGTACACCTTTTCACATATCCGTTGAGACATTGTTACATAACTACTTGACAAATTTCATAACCGAATGACAGAACACATATCGAATGACAATCTAAAATAACTGTTTGTTCATGCTAACGGAAATGATTGACATAAGTTATGAAGTTGACAGACGTGAACAATAAACCGACAGTCTACATATAGTTTGAGAATCTAACAATTGGAGAATGACATACCACCAACAGTTATTTAAGATTGTCATTCGATATGTGTTCTGTCATTCGATTATGAAATTTGTCAAATAGTTATGTAACAATGTATCAACGGATATGTGAAAAGGTGTGCAGTATTTATTTTTTATACTGTAATTTTTATTATTATTTTTGATCATTCTTGTAATACAGTTCACCATACATTTTTCCAGTAAACATGAAAAACAAAACCACAGTGCAGGAGAAAATTACATCAAAGGGCATTAAAACCTCGGCTGCAGTAGATGGTCAAAACATTAACAAGAAGGTGATTGGTAAGGATGTGACAATTGCTCCTCCCATAACTGAACAAATGGATAGTGATGAGGATGAAGAGGACTGGAGTAGCCAGATTAATTCTTCTCAAGTGTCTTCCTCAAGGTATTTTGTCAACAATTGTTAATCTATACTTGAAAGTGTGGGAAGGAATAATATTTGATGAGGGTTTTGAGATTATTCACTACTTTTGTGGGTTGCTTAACCCCTTGAGTACTAGGACCTTTAACTTGTTGTGTTCAATGTCTGAACCTCCTTAAATTCAAGAGGTTAAAACAGGGTTGACAAAAACTTTTTTTATTAACCAAAAACCATTGGGTTTAAAAAATAAATGTTTTGTTTTAATGCTATTTTGTTGCTTTTGATAAGTTTTAAGCAATTGTAGTCCTTTTATAACTTTTTAATGTGCTGTTAATCATAAGCATTACATTCAGGATGATTTAGCAATCATTTATATTCTTTTTCATCTAAAAAATCTCTGTGAAACAGCTAAATTTGAAAAACACAAGCATTGATCAGTCACCTAGACTCATCCTACATGCTTAAAGGCAAAATCTAAATTTAAGTTCATCTTAATGCATGGAAAAACTATACTTCTTTTACAGTTGAAAGTTATAAAGAATTCATTTAAGTACAGTTGGAGAGAGAGAGAGAGAGAGATGGGCAGTGGCAACTTGGCTCCCCTGGACCTGTATTATAATACAGTGGTCCCTCGATTAACGAACACAATTGGTTCCACAGAGTCATTTGTTAACCGAAAATTTCATTAACTGAATCTATTATTTCAATGAGATAATGGGTAATTGGTTCCAACTCACAGAAAAGGTACATACAAAGTAAAGCCAAAAAATGCATAAAGTCAGAAACACTCCTAAAATTCCCCTAAATCACCCTTCTACCCTCTGGTGGCAGGGCACGTCATGCTACATTAGAGCACTCACAGCTAGCGGCGGAGGGAAAGCATGGGTGGTAAGGATGCGTGGCCCAATCACAGTCCGATACATCATATGATGTCAGCGATAACGTAAGAGCGACCTAATGCGCACCCTGCCTGCGACGCTTCCCGCGTAAATGATGCAATGACCCGCGCAATTCAGAATTTTCATCCTGGCAAGGTGCCGCGTAAATGACCAAACGCGTAAACAAAATCCGCGTAAATGCGCGGATTTCACGCTTGCAGTTTCACCTTCAGTGAGCACTCACCCCCTGAAGATGTGAAATCAAAGAATGAAAGCCTTTGGGGAACCCTGGGTATTTCTCTCCCTGTTACAATATATATATATATATATATATATATACTGTATATAAAAAAAAAATAATACTGGTAACAAGTTTATTTTCTTACATTTGTAGGATTATAGTGTATTAAGAATTACCGGTATAACTTCAAGTCAACACAATATTCTCATTCTGTAAACAACAAAAATAGTTCAAAACATTTAAATTAGCTCAGTTGAACATTGAAAGGCTTATGTACTGTGTCAAGCTTAGATGCCTTTTCCTGTCCTGGGCGATTTCTTACCTTTGAGTGTACAAATCCATATGTGGAAAAAATTCTCTCAACCCCTGCTGATGATGCAACAGCTGTAAATAATTGCCTAGGAACATCCATTACATTTTCTGTCATATCATTGGCAAAATACTGCCACCAAGCAAGGGGTGAGAGAGATTTAACAACATCTTTACCAAAATAGACCTCTTTAAATGGTGCACTTCTTCCATGGAAGGACATTAATGTTGAAGGGAAATGTGGAAGAGACTCGCACACATCCTGTTCTGCAATGTCTCGCTGCTCAGGAGTCAGATGTCTGCCCTGATACCTTGGATCTATCACATTAGCTAGAAAATGGGCAGGTGTCAATGCTACTTTGATTCTTTTTTCAAACTAATCCATATCCTTCTTATCTGTTAAATACTCGTTAATATCAGTTTTCAGTTTTACCCAGATTTCTACAGCATCACTTAATAGGGTATGTTCTCTCTGGACACAGTCCAATGCCACAGCAATAGGCTTAAGTCTCTCTAAATAGTCTTATGCAGTTCTTTTTAATGCCTTATCATGAACTTTCCTTTAAATTTTCCTATCAATGTCTTCACTATTTTCTTTGCACACTTTGACAAGGGTCTCCCAGTTTTTTAAATAAGATTCAATAGAATCTGTCACTGTGTTCCATCGTGTGTCTGATGGCATTACTAGCATTGTTCCTCCTGCTCTTCTATACAAAGATCCTGGGATGTGATGATTTCTGAATTTCAATAGTATTTATTATCTTTGGTAACAATATATTTCATGTAAATATATACATTAATAATGAGACCTTATGATATGATCAAAGTTTCGCAAAACTGGAGAGAACAGACTATAGTAAAGTAACATAATTATGTAAATCCAAATAATGTTATTAGCCTGCTGCATTGCATATACTTTTCAATCATGTAGAATAAAAAGAGAAAACAGTTATGAGTAAAACAATCATTTTGATTTAAATCATGATTTTTTTACTCTGATTTAAGTTGATTTAAATCATTTGATTTAAATCATAACAACCCTGCTCCCACAGTGCTTTTCTGTTCACCCTATCGTATGCCTTTCCAAATCTACTATAAATCATTAAAACCACCTGGAAGTAGTAAAAAACAACATGTAGCCTATTAAAACAAAAAAGGCATAGATTAAAAAACAAACATTAAGGCGTTAACAGTTACGGGCAAGTCGAAGGGAATGATCGAAACCCGTCTTTTGACGCATTCAATATTTATTGATGTGGTCAAAACCTGCAGAGGAGAAGGCATTCATAATATTACAAGGTGATCCATCTGATACATAATTAGTTAGTCACACACAATTTTATCTTAATTACAATTTATTAAACATAATGACATAACACAAAGTTCATAACTCTATTAATCTTAGCTTCGCTTTATTCTGCATTGTCTTATTACTCCAGGTTAAGCAGAAACGAGTAGGCGTAATTAGTCAACAATATTTCAGTACCGAGGGGTATGTCATCACTTAGGCTGTACTTACAAGTGCGGGTTAATGCTGATCAGTATGGTGTTCCAAGAGAAAACAGTATTGCGTAAATCGTCCCAGCACAAATTCTCGGACAGGAGAAGGCTGGTCTTCACAGCATCACTAGAGAGGGCGATCTGTCTCATATGAGGGGCGGGCAGCCACCGCCACCAGTCTAAGACAGTCCACTCAGCAGAACCAGGACTTGTCTGTAAACACTTCTACTTCTGGCGAGGTCACAGGTCGAAAGATTTTATGGCATCACACGCCAGCACTGTAGCTGAAGCCAGCGGTGATAACACATTGCTTTAGCCCAGGTTATTTCCTATTATTCTGTCTGGGTCCTAGAAACATAAGGAATTAGTTTATAGGACTTCCCCCTCCTGAGCTCTCAGTATTGGGTTCACTGGTGCACCTCAGGTAATCATTATTATTTGAATGGTTTGCTAGCAGGTATAGAATCAAAGGGGTGCCAACTCTCTAATACCTGCTTGGCCCTAGTCAAAAATAATATGCCTAAACATTTTTGTTCAGCTATTCATATAAAGCAAATGTAATGTCTATATGAACTGTATATGAAGACCTAACATGTTTGTATTCCTGGTTCAAAAATTTTTTTTTTTTGAGAAAACATTAATTTGAAGTTTTTAATACTGTAGTCAACTTTAATCCTGACACTAAACAATGGCAACTTCTTAAGATACGTGCCTGCGTCTCCCATTTTATTTTATTTTCTGTGTGTATACAGTACTGGTTTGTATATTACATCATTTATCTATTATTCTTACTTATGTTATAAAATATTGGAAAGTTAGTAACATTTTCATGAGGTGTACAGTGTATGAATATTCATGAACTCGGTTCACATTAGAATTTTGGCCAATGATTAGTAACTTTAGTATTGTAATCACTTTAGTGCTGTATCAAAGATGTTAAAATTCTTTAAGTCATCCCCACAAATTTAAGAGCCTATTGTGCACATATTTATAGATGAATGTTACTAAATCAGTTATTCACTACTGTATAGAAATAAATTTAGACTGGAAATTTTGGAAAGCTCTTACTCTAAGGCAAGGCATAACAATATCTATTTTTTCAAGCTAATAGGATTACTTTTTTCATACCTACAGCAGTGCTGGTTCTGAATTTGAATGCCTTGAGGAGTCGATGTTAAGAATTGGTGAGGACGACATTATTTCCCCAACTCGGCAAGGTATGTTTTTAGCCTATTTTGTGGAATCTTATTAAGCAGGGAATTTAATTGGGGATGGACTTCCAGCTGGGGGGTGTTGATGTTAGGTTGTGTGAAACCACATTTGATATCTTAGGGGATTAGTTTGAAAGGTTTCTTCAGTCTGCTGGTGAGTACAATGTATAGTGTATATACAGTCGTATCTTTTGTTTATTTACTATACCGTAAAGCAGTGTTTGCATAAATGGATACAGTTCTGTGGATGTCCAACTGTAGTTAGCCTCCTTAGCAACAGTGCTCCATTCACCAATACCTGGAAAATTTCCATAAATGTATGATTTTTTCCAGGAGTAAGGATTTGTCTCAATGCCTGGAAATCTCTTGAACATGGAAATGTTCTGCACCATTTGTCCAAACAGTTGACATTTAGTTCACTTATACTAATCTGAAGGCAAACCAAAAACAGGTTTTTCCATAAATTATTTGTACTTAGAATTTAAAATAGGGTCTTTGGTGCCATCCTCAACCATTTATCATCAGCTTCAACTTTTATTTTATTTCAGTTAATCTTGGTAGTCAGGTAGTGCAATTCATTACCAGTGATCCAGAGCTGCACCAAAAGGTTCTGTTGTATGAACCCTTCTTTGTTGAGGAACTGCAGTCTAACCTCAAGGCCAACGGTGTTAAGTGCAATATGAAAAACCTGCTTGGTGTTTTAGATGATCAGGTAAGTTGAGTACAATTTTGTACTGTAATTTTTTTTAAATACACTGTACTGTACGTATTTTACCGAGAGCTAAGTTTCATTCTTTCTTGTTCAGCTGATAGTAGTGCCTAGAATCGTCCATAATGTATAAATATTGAATATATTTTATATTGACTGAAAATGAAAGAGGGTTGTATAGGACTGATGGCTCATCAGAGGCAATGTGGGTATAGTACACAAGGAGACAGTGTGGCTGACCCTGCACTCGTACTACCTTTCAGTATTCCCAATTGAAAAGTTTGGTACTCATTCTGCTGCTGGGTCAACTGCGAGCACCCTACACACAAACCAGCCATGGGACTCAAGTGTAACAATGTAATACACTACAGATATTTTTTTCCAGTCTTGTTAGCCTTTTCCTTGGTATTCTGCATATTTCCAGATTACATTACAGTATTCATGCATCTTGGAGCTGTGTCATAAGGAGGGAAATGAAAAGGATTACATTAATAATCGAATAATGCAGGAATGGAAAACAAATGGAGTGCTGAGATTATTATTTAGTGGAAAGACTGTATGTTGTGTGTGTGTGTGTGTTTCCAAGGAAAATGTATGCAGTAGTAGTGAGCACCAACTTCTACATTTGGATGTGAAACTCAAGTACATGTGAGAAGTGATTGATAGATACATTGAGAAGCATTTTAGGAGTTTGGAGAATTGGTAGAGTAAAGATTGAAAATGTAAGTTGAATGTATGGTGTCAAAAAGTTTCTTGTAGAGTCTAATGTTGGTGGTACAGTGATAACGTACGTATCTCTCACCAATATGTCAAGGGCTCAAGCCCCACTTGGTCTAGACCAGGGGTTCTCAACCAGGGGGGAATTTCCCCCCTCAGGTTTTTGGGGGGGGGGGGGAACTGATACTAATATGGAAAAAATAAAGGATTTTCAGTATTATATGCATATTATTTGGAATGCACTTTTTGAGGCAGACAATCTTGGAAAGGAGGGGGGAATGACATTCTGACATATGGTGAAAGGGGTGCATGGGGCAAACAAGGTTGAGAACCACTGGTCTAGACACACATGAGAAAGGTGTTATCCAGTGTGAATCTACCAAACATCACAGTTTCCTGAACTCCAGTTTCCTCCTATGCTAACACTGGATAGATCAACTGCCCAAACAGCTAGTAAGCTGATAAGTGGTGAAAATTATTAAAAAGATATACAGTATAGTCTGGATTTACGGGGTTTTTGTTTATGCCAGAATGAAATGTTTTAATTACGCGGTAAATTTCATCATTTACGCGGGAAGCGGCTCGGGCAGGGTGCGTACAAGGTCGCCCAGTCATCAAGACATTACCGAGTTCTTCACCCGCCACCCACCACAGCCGGCCCAAGTCAGTGATAGTGAGGATATGAACTTTGAGGGGTTTGACAAAGAGGCCCTGCAACCCTCTGTGGTGGATAGTGATAGAAGTGATACAGGTGAGGGCCAATAATCTGCACTCTGCCTATGAACCAACTCCCCATCCCCGTGTGCCCAGCCATCTTTTCTAATGTAAGTGTTAAAGAACCTAATATTATTGATATTTCTCTTAAATATTAATTGTGTGCATACCATCATAAAATTAAGATGTTATTTTTATTACAACGTAGGTATTGTGTCGGAAAAAGTGGTGTTTGGGAGTCGGCCCGGTCTCTATTTCAATTAATCCCATATGTTCTGTTATTTCGTTTACGCGTTTCTTGTTTTACGCGGACCTCCACGGGTGCAACTGACCGCGTAAATGCAGACTACCGGTATACTGTGTGTGTGTGTGTGTGTGTGTGTGTGTGTGTGTGTGTATATATATATATATATATATATATATATATATATATATATATATATATATATATATATATATATATATATATATATATATATATATATATATATATATATATATATATATATATATATATATATATATATATATATATATATATATATATATATATATAGTCAACCCTCACTTTACGCGGTCCCACATTCCGCGTTTCCACGTTTACGCGGTGCCCTGCCAGAACCCAGGATGCTCACATTCCGCGGTGGGTGTACCCCTTTACACGGGTGAAGTATAATTTTTTTATTTAGCTCATAAAATTCATACAAATTATCCGGCCAGAATATAATTTACATTGCTGGAATTCTTACAATTTGATGATCATTTTGAATATAAACATCATAGATTTTGCATTAGACATACAAATTTTAGATATAATGTTTACTCTTGAGTAAATATGTTATCTTTTGTGCAAAATATATGATATTTATATTCAAAATATTCCTGGTCTTACAAGGAATCCAGCAATGTCAATTATATTATCCTAACTTTAGTCTGATTTATTATTTATTACTAAAAAGGTAAACAGTCTGGTATTCCCACACATTTATGTAGTAGGGACGGTTGGTGAGGGGTGGGGGGGAGGGAGGGACCGGCGACCGACCATCTGTTACCGTGTGAAGAATATTTTTTTTTTTATTAACTGAAGATTTTTATTTTAGCTCATAAAATTCATACAAATTACCCGGCCAGAATATAATTTACATTGCTGGAATTCTTACAATTTGATGATCATTTTGAATATAAACATCATAGATTTTGCATTAGACATACAAATTTTAGATGTAATGATTGCTCTGAGTAAATATGTTATCTTTTGTGCAAAATATATGACATTTATATTCAAAATATTCCTGGTCTTACAAGGAATCCAGCAATGTCAATTATATTATCCTAACTTTAGTTTGAGGTATTATTTATTACTATACCTGGTTTTCCCCCCAAAATTTCTCAGAGGGAAGAGCCAGCAGTGTAGTGTGAGAAGAGGGGGAGGGAGTCGTGTCCATTATTTGAATGGACATTAACTTGGCGACTGTATTTCTCTATTTCTCTTAAGTATTAATTGTGTGCATGTACCATCATAAAATTAAGATGTTATTTTTACTAGAACATAGGTATTGTGTTGGAAAAAGTGGAGTTTGGGGGTCAGCTGGTCTCTATTTCATTTAATCCCATATGTTATGTTATTCACTTTACGCGTTTCTCACTTTCCGCGGTACCCTGTGGGTTACATTAACCACGTAAAGTGAGGGTTGACTGTATATATATATATATATATATATATATATATATATATATATATATATATATATATATATATATATATATATATATATATATATATATATATATATATATATATATATATATATATTAAAAATAAAAACATGGTTGAAAGTACACAAAGTTGATATGAGTAGTATACAATACAGGTGACTCTTGCTTTATACAACTTCTCTTAATGCAATTTCAATACCTGTACATATATTGTGTAAGAACCCTGTTTCGACCACTGCAAAAGAAAAAAATAGAAAAAATTGCAGTTATGCATCTGATCTGGTTGGATGTATGAAGCTCATGCAGCCAGTGTATGTGCACTTGGACTCCACTTTGTGGTTAGGGCTTGTGAGGCCTTGTTGAAGCCAGTGGATTGGTTAATGAGTAGCCACGTGAGGCTACTCTCATCTTGTAGTGTGCAGATTTGCCTTTACAATTAACTAGCACAGTGTCATCTAAGCTAGTGCTTCTCAACCCTTTCTGTTTTATTCACCTTAAATATTTCGATTCATAAATCATTTTCCCATTTTAATGCACAGGAAAAGTAAACACTTTTATTTGATGTGTGCTTTATTTATCAAGACTTCAATTACAGCCACTCCTCGACTTACGACGGGGTTAGGGACCCAAATCCAGGTCGTAAGTCGAAAATGCGAAGATAATACATAGAAAATCTAAAATAGGTGTCTCTTTTTCTTCTCAGCACCATAAAACTCTCAATTTTAAGCTTGCCAGCCATTTTAAAGTAAATTACAAATGAAAATTTTGTCAGTACACTGCACACAATCACTAACGTCGGGACTCGAAAATACGTAATTTGAAAAATTTTTGGTACGACTGGGGTGGTCGTATGTCCTGGTGGTCGTAAGTCTAGTAGGTCATAAGTCGAGGAGTAGCTGTGTAAGCATTCCGTAATATGATTACAGCTAGAGTAAATAATGTCTAAACTTACCTGACATAACTACAGTATATACATAATCTTCTTTGCCAACTACGGCTGTACAACTAGTGACCTTTCTGTTCTTGAATTTTGTTTGCAATTGCACCGTAGTTACAAATGGTAGAGGTTTCAAGAGCTCCCTGCATCAATTCGGGGACCTCCTGTAATGTAAAATCAGTGCTCAAGGAGTGACAGTGGAGTGGATTCACTTGTGACCGTGTTAACATTAATAAACCTGACAACTTACCCGGTAAGATACACAGTGAATTGTTGTGATTCACCCTGGATGTGATCAAGAATATGTGGATAATTCTGTTTGCTCTAGCTCTTTTATGTTGTGTTCTATTCTGTACTTATCTTGCTCCCTCTCCATTGTATTTCCCTCCTTAAAGGTTTCTGTCCCATACAAAATTAGTAGTCATAAAAATAATGGAGACAGATATGATTTGTGCCTGTAGGCTGTAAGACCGATTACTTTGGAAAATAGTAGGCGGGAGAAACTTAATTGGATACCATAGTTCTCTGATCTAAATTATAGATTAAACTTGTAAATTTCAATAAATATCAAATTTATATTTAAATAATATTTTAACTGAATTAATAATGTAATTCATGACAGCTCTACCAGTTTGTGACTAGATTACTCAAGACTGAAAATATCAACTAACAGCTGTCTAATATACCTCCTCTTTGTCTGTTCCAGTGCATAACTTTCCGTACACACCAAGGCCAAAAGAATAGAGCAAGGACAAGAAGATCTAAGAAAAAATCTTTAATCCAATCTCCCAAGAAATATAAGGAAAAATTGTAGTTATTTGTTTTGTTTGAAAGAATAAGCAAAATAAGGGAAATAAATACTTGGGACCAGATGCATTTCGGTTTTTGGAATTTTTTGGATTTCAGAATGGTTAGTTTTTTTTTTTTTTGTTCAGGGATCAGCCCACCCGGGCACAGCAGGTCACTGACTCACATTGGGGCCTGGGGGCTAAAATATAATAATAATAATAATAATAATAATAATAATAATTCATAGATCTAGGTCATGTTTCTCACTTTTGATCTTTTTTTCATTCTTGTATTTCTTTATTATTATTATTATTTCATTATTACAGTACTGTATTATTGTTATTATTATTATTATTATTGTTATCATTTTTATTTTATTTTTGTGTATTTTTTATTAAAAATTTTATTTACTATGAATAATTATTATTATTACTGTATTATCATTATTATTATTATTATTACCTGTATTATTATAATTATTATTACTATTACATTTTCACCCCCCAGGCCCCGATGTGGGTCAGTGACATGTGGCTCCACAAAAAAAGATTTCGGTTTTCGGAATTTCGGATAAAGGGTTGTCAGCCTGTATTAAAAAAAGAAAAAGAATTCTTTCTCCTTAGTCACTGAATCTCTCATTAAACTGACAGTACCACTTTTCAAGGAACGAGGCGATAGAGCTGATACAGTGCTCTCCTCGTGTTCCAGGTGGGTGGTGGTTCAATTCCTGGGCACTCCTAGTTCACCCAGCTGTAAATGGGCACCTAAATTTACAACATGAGGAATTGAATGCATGCTGGCTCCTTGTGTACCAAAGGCTTAGCATACAGTGTGCTGTATCCACACTGTCCCTAATGAACTGTCATGTCTATGGAACTCACTTTCACCATATGTTTACCCCTCTAACTTCTTTTAATTTCTCTAGTTCTTGCCCTTCATTTACAGTCCCTAGCCCCAAATCTTTCTCATATTCTGTTTCCATTCTGTATACAATAATATATTTGTAAGCTTTCCTTTTTCTCTCTCTCTTTCTCTGTTTGAATGCAGACCAGCATTAGTTGTACAGTTATCTGAGAGATGGGGGGGGGAGGGAGATAAACAAGTAAAGGATATCTGCCTCAGCAATTTGACCAACTGAAGACATTAGTAAAGTACACTATCTCTTAGCAGCTGTCTCACTGTTGAAGCTCCTGTAAGACTTATACTGAACTCACCTTTCCTTCTGCAACTTTCTTGAATTATATTTTCTTCTCCCTTCCAGACATTCATTCTATTTGCTCAATCATTTAATCTTTCCTGTTTTGTATTCCTTCCTTTGGCCTCTTATATTTCCTTTCCCTAAGTCGTATTTTTCTTTCCCCTTATATCATTCACTTCATTGAAGACCAACCATTTTATATACAGTGGTCCTTTGGTTAACGAACACAATTCGTTCCAGAAGGTTGTTCATTAACCGAAAATTCCGTTAACCGAAATCATTGTTTCAATGGGATTTTGGATAATTGGTTCCAGCTCACCGAAAATTACATAAAAATTAAAAAAAAATGCAGTAAAGTGCACTTACTTTGAGGTTTGTATGGAGAAGGCTCCTGGTTGATGATGGGAATTTGAAGTGGGGGTAGAGGAGAAGAGAAGGAAGTGGGGTGGAAGAGAAATCACCCCATGCTTCATGCCGTCATTTCACCCATAAAATTTTAAGTTCACTTGGTGTAATTCAAGAATATTTTCTTTAAATCATCACTGCACTGCACTATATATTGTCAATATGTTAAATAAATTTCAGAATGACCAATAATTGTACTGTAAAAATAGTTTATGTTCAAGAGAGCCACAAGCAAGAAGTTAATCTCCACTGACCAGAGATACAAACTGACATCTTGGTGGGTGAGTGAAGTGCCCGATTGGCGCACCAAAACTAGTTTCCTGTACTGCAATTATGTTAAATAAGTGTTAAAATGACTAAATATTTGAATATAAAACTTGGAAAATTATTGAATAGTACAACCTTCTTGATATTTACTCTAATGGGAACGAATTTAAGCCCTAGAACCGGTTACTGTATTGGCGGACTAATATTTTTGTTTGTTAACCGAATTGAAGATTCTTATGGAAGGTAATTCCATGGTGGAAACCAGTTTGAACATTTGCGAACACGCAGGAATGAGTATACTAGACTAGGGGGAGAACATTAAAGTTTTCTTTTATGCCATTTAATTTTCTTAAATTTAATGTTATTTTCTGTAATTTAACTCATTTGACTTGTATCTATGTCAATAAACACCTAAATAAAAAAAAAAATATATGAGTAATGGGCAGTCAAAGAGTGAGCACATTTTTTTAGGACACCCTGTATATGTGTGTGTGTGTATATATAAAATTGTAAAAATTGTAAGAAAGTGCATAAATATGCATCTAAACCCCTGAAATAAAGAATATCATTAATATTTGTAATAAAAAACAATAAATTAGAAAAAAAAAAGAAAAAAAAATTAAATAATGTTCGTTGTAGGAGTTTCGTTCGTTATAGCATTCTCAATTTTATAGGTAAAACCGTTCGTTATAGGAATATTCGTAGTAGGATCCGTTCGTTATAGCATACCCCGGTGTGTGTGTGTGTGTGTGTGTGTGTGTGCGTGCGTGTGTGTGTGTGTGTGTGTGTGTGTGTGTGTGTGTGTGTGTGTGTGTGTGTGTGTGTGTGTGTGTGTGTGTGTGTATATGTGTGTGTGTGTGTGTGTGTGTGTGTGTGTGTGTGTGTGTGTGTGTGTGTGTGTGTGTGTGTGTGTGTGTGTGTGTGTGTGTGTGTGTGTGTGTGTGTGTGTGTGTGTGTGTGTGTGTGTGTGTGTGTGTGTGTGTGTGTGTGTGTGTGTGTGTGTGTGTGTGTGTGTGTGTGTGTGTGTGTGTGTGTGTGTGTGTGTGTGTGTGTGTGTGTGTGTGTGTGTGTGTGTGTGTGTGTGTGTGTGTGTGTGTGTGTGTGTGTGTGTGTGTGTGTGTGTGTGTGTGTGTGTGTGTGTGTGTGTGTGTGTGTGTGTGTGTGTGTGTGTGTGTGTGTGTGTGTGTGTGTGTGTGTGTGTGTGTGTGTGTGTGTGTGTGTGTGTGTGTGTGTGTGTGTGTGTGTGTGTGTGTGTGTGTGTGTGTGTGTGTGTGTGTGTGTGTGTGTGTGTGTGTGTGTGTGTGTGTGTGTGTGTGTGTGTGTGTGTGTGTGTGTGTGTGTGTGTGTGTGTGTGTGTGTGTGTGTGTGTGTGTGTGTGTGTGTGTGTGTGTGTGTGTGTGTGTGTGTGTGTGTGTGTGTGTGTGTGTGTGTGTGTGTGTGTGTGTGTGTGTGTGTGTGTGTGTGTGTGTGTGTGTGTGTGTGTGTGTGTGTGTGTGTGTGTGTGTGTGTGTGTGTGTGTGTGTGTGTGTGTGTGTGTGTGTGTGTGTGTGTGTGTGTGTGTGGAAAAAATGGGAAATATCTACTTTCTGGGAAAGTTGGTTATCTACTTATCATAAAAAACGGGAAATTTGTATCATAGAAAATGGGAAATATCTACTTTCCGGGAAAGTTGGTTATCTACATTCCCGAAAAGTAGATTATCTAATTTTCGGGAAAGTAGATTATCAACTTTTTGGGGAAGTAGTGTAGTGGCTCCTCTCCCCTACAACTCCCAACTGAGCTCCGGCCGCGCGCCTACCAGCCAATCAGCGTACAGTCAGCTACGCCGAGAGACTAGGTCTATGCAGAGGACGTAGGGGTACAATCGCCAACCTAGTCTTGACCTTCAACCTCCAGTTCAGGATCAGAGCGTTTCACACCTTAAGCTTAAGCTGCTGTGATTGGCCCTCTCACTACGCTCACCCCAAATCCTAATCCTCATAAATTGTATAAATACGGCCATGCCTGGCCAGGGAGACCATTCTACACTCGGCTACTGGACCAGCAACATCTCTCACAGCTCCACACCACCCAGCTTCCTCAGAAACCTCCTAGCCCTACAGGACCTCTGAGCAAGTTTCTCCTCACCTAGTCACTCCTAAGCACTGCGCTGTACAACAATATATATACAGAAAGCGCATTGTGAGTTTCTATCCTACCTCATTCCTGAGTGTGAGATATCTACATGTACGTACGTTTGTGTGCCCATACTACGAGAATTGACAACTGGCCACATACAGTACGCTACAGTATATTATGAGTTTTGGGGAAATATTACCTAATTTTCCGAAGTAGATTATCATAGAAAACGGGAAATTTGTATCACAGAAAATGAGAAATATCTACTTTCTTTGGAAAGTTGGTTATCTACTTATCATAGAAAACGGGAAATTTGTATTATAGAAAATGGGAAATATCTACTTTCTGGGAAAGTTGGGTATCTACATTCCCGAAAAGTAGATGATCTACTTTTCAGGAAAGTAGATAATCGGTTTTTTGGGGGAAGTAGATTATCGAATTTTGGGGAAATATTACCTAATTTTCCAAAGTAGATTATCATAGAAAATGGGAAATATCTACTTTCTGGGAAGTTGGTTATCTACTTTCCCGAAAAGTAGATGATCTACTTTTCAGGAAAGTAGATAATCGGTTTTTTTGGAAGTAGATTATCGATTTTTGGGGAAATATTACCAATTTTCCGAAGTAGATTATCATAGAAAACGGGAAATTTTGTATCATAGAAAATGGGAGATATCTACTTTCCGGGAAAGTTGGTTCTCTACTTTCCCGAAAAGTAGATTATCTACTTTTCGGGAAAGTAGATTATCGACTTTTTGGGGAAGTAGATTATCGAATTTTGGGGAAATATTACCTAATTTTCCGAAGTAGATTATCATAGAAAACGGGAAATTTGTATCACAGAAAATGGGAAATATCTACTTTCTGGGAAAGTTGGTTATCTACTTATCAAAAAAAACGGGAAATTTGTGTCACAGAAAATGGGAAATATCTACTTTCCGGGAAAGTTGGTTATCTATTCGAAAATAGATTATCTACTTTTCGAAAGTAGATTATCGACTTTTTGGGAAGTAGATTACGACTTTTGGGGAAATATTACCTAATTTTCCGAAGCAGATTATCATAGAAAACGGGAAATTTGTATCATAGAAAAATGGGAAATATCTACTTTCCGAAAGTTGGTTATCTACTTTCCCGAAAAGTAGATTA